CCAGGGCACTCATGTCACTACCCCACAGGAGCTGAAGGCAGCTGGCTCTCAGCCAAGTGTGGACTATGCTGCTGCTTGTCAGCCAGGTGCAGTGCCTGGCTGAGCTGTCTGCTGTAAAGGGGACTTTTATTTACTAGATTGTAATTGTGGTCTAGGAGGCAATAAGCCTTCCCCCTAGGGGAACCTAGGCTGGGCCCTGGACGCTGCTAGCCTCCGTACAACTGTATCCAGCCCTAGAATGTTTTCAGCCTCTAAGACTTACTGTCGAATAACTCACCCTGTCTAGTTCTTCCTGAGCCCTGGCTTGCTGATTCAACTCAGCTGTTCTGGCTAAACTCCTCTCCTAGCTGACTGATTCAAACTCTGTTCTCTCAGCTTCTGACTAAATTGTTCTGCTTAGCCTCAGACTAACTCTAGCATTTGTTCTAATCTTCTAGCTTCTTGATCTCTGGCTCCTTCTGCCTTCTCCTGTGTCTATCTTGATCTCTTCAACCTGTCTCTGTAAAACTCTGCTGGTAAGGGCTGGAGAGATGGTTCAGTGGTTAAGAGCACTGACTGCACTTCCAGAGGTCCTGAGTTCAATTCCCAGCAACCACATGGTGGCTCACAACCATCTGTAATGAGATATGATGCCCTCTTCTGGTGTGTCTGAAGACAGCTATAGTGTATTCATATATAATAAATAAATAAATCTTTTTTAAAAAAAAAAAAACCTCTGCTGGTAAAACGGCTTCTGAACTCCATGAACTGAACAGCCACAAGCTTCACCCCACTGCCCCTCAACTCACCAGCTCACCAGAACTACCTGAACAGAATTGACTAGAACTCAGACATCTGCATGCCTGTCTTCTGGGATGAAAGGCGTGTGTATTCCAGCCAGATTACACAGACCAAGGTCTTTGGATGTGGTGGTCTCTTGCCAGAGCAGCCATGTTCTGAATTAAAATTCTTCTGCAATCAACCAGGGGCAGTGCCCTGCTGGAGCTCTGGCTCACAGCTGTGTCCTTGGCTTCAGTAAGCTTCAGGAGTGACACCTGTCCCCAAAGAGTGTAGTTGTCACTGCTGCCTGCCCACAGCACATAGTCAGGCTTGTTAATCTGATGGGGTCAGGGAGGATGTTACTCCAACCCAGCCTAGGGATGGTGCTGTGACCATCTTAGCCATAATTTGTCCTCCAGCACCCACCAGGGCTTCAGGCTGCCAGTGACCTCCCACACGTGCCTAGGAGCCAGTCTAGACATTGCTGAGATCATAGGAAGTGTCACACCTGCTGTCACCTGGCCCACAGGACTTTGTGTCTTGCTATGGAGGTGGTAACACGAACTGTGGGATTCTGACAATACCAGCCAGATGGAGAAAGAACCCTAGACTACAGCAGGGCAGGCATCCTACCAGGATGCCCAGCTGACTTAGAGCTGGACAAGTGGGATGCCTCTCCCTTGTTTGCAGAGGAAGTCTGTGACCCACTGATACCCAGTGCTTTCAGTGCTGCCATGATCACCTGTAAAGGCCTCTCAGAGCGTGGCATGGAGACGTGTTGCTAGGAGTCCTGTGCCCCCTTCAGGGTGGTGCTGAGCCATGGGTTAGTGGAGGGCAGGTGCCAGCCTTAACAACCACAGCACCATGCTTTAGGTGGCAAAGCCGTGTTACTTCTTGTTCTGGTTTGGTTTGAGACAGAGTCTCATGTAGCCCAGGCTAGTCTTAAATTTGTGAGTCACTAAGGATGACATGAATTCTGACCTCCCACCGTCTCCCAAGTGCTGGGTTTACAGGTGTGCACCACCATGCCTGACTCCAGGTTCCTTCTTTCCCGGGCCTTCTGGAGCAGCCATTGGTACCACATAGCCTGCCTGAGCTGCCACTATACAAGCTGTAGTCCAGTGCAGAGCCCCCAAGCCCTGCCATTCCCAGACTTGACCTCCTGCCCAGCTTGCACCTACTGTGCACTCCCAGATTGGAGTAGGGCTGGTGCCCTACTCAGCAGCCCAAGTCACAGGGTGCTGGTTACCTTCTGACTAGAATCAGCCAAAGAGGCAAGACTTCTACAGGGTCCTAATTGTAGCCCTTTCTAGACCTGGCTGAGAGGGTTGGGCTTTATTCCAGAAAGTTCTTAGTTGTGCCAGGTGGATGTGTGTGTGTGTGTGTGTGTGTGTGTTGCACTCCTGATTGCAGCCTCGGGGTCAGAGGGTCCTGTGGTGGGTGTGGCAATAGTGGGTCATTTAGAACACAGGACACCTTTGCAGAAACTTAACTCCTCCAGGCTCTCAAGGCCTTTGAGTCTGTGCTATGTGAAGAGATTGGATGTGAGGTATCTGATGTCTTCATGGCCTGTCTGCACTGAGAGGTGACAGCCAGAGCTGGCCAGACTATTAGTCCCTTTACCAGACCACCCGCTGGGCTAGTGGCTGGCACCATCAGGGTAGCTCACCCTGGTCACCTGTTTCCCCCAGACTGACTCACTCAATGGACCTCCAGCTGTCAGGCACATGGGCCAAGGTAGTGGTGACCAGCTGTGGTCTTCCGTTGTGGAACACTAAGCAATGCCCCTCCTAGTCTGTCTTTGTTAATCTGTTTTCACTTTGCAAGGTCACTGTGAGCTTGTGAACTGGTGTAGGTCATGAAGGCATTCTGCCCAGAGGCTGCTGGCTTTTGCGGGAAGGTTTTGCTCTGCTACCCAGGCTGACCTGGGCCTCATCATCCTCCTGCCTTAGCCTCTTGACTGCTGATGCACCACCATTCACAGCTTGTTCTGTCTTTACCAAGCCTGTCCATACCTGTCCATAGCTGTTTGGGGAACTACAGTCTAATGACAGTAGCATGGATAGGTTGGCTGCTCAGGTGGCTGCTAGACAAGGCCTCTTGTCCAGGTGAGTGAATAGCTTGTTGTCGACATAAAGGGCCCAGCCTGTGTGGCCAGGAGCCCAAATCTGTGATGGCAGCAAGGTCATATGGGGACAACCAGTTGAGGTCAGCCATCCCAGGTCCCTGAGGAAGACTGAGCTCCTGGGTGTCTCTGTCCCTATCCTTTGAGGCAGCTGCAGAGGACTTGTTCTACAGAGCAAGGACCTGCTCAGCCTTAATGCTACTCTCAGAGCTGCCCCTGGGCTGCCAGCCCAGACTCCATGCACTCAGCAGTCCTGCTGCACAGTGGACCCTGTACTCTGCTTGTGCACTGTCCTCTAGAGAGCTTGGCCCTGGGATGGACGGGAGCCAGGCCTTGCACCTGCTGCTTCTCCCCCAGAGCACCTTCTAGGCCTCAGGCCCAGTGCCACAGTGTCACTGATAATTTTGGCCAGCAGTGCCACCTTATCTGTCTGTCTCCTTTGCTGTAAGTGGCTCTTGTGTCTCTCAAAGGCTTCCTTTAACCTGTCTTGCCATTTATGGTAAGATATGGCTCCTGTAGCAGAGTAAGCATGTATAATAATTCTGGAGAAAGTAGAGGGATAATGAAAGGCACTTTCCATCTATTCAGAATTCTGTACAGAGGGTGTTGCTCTGTAGTCCCTTCATCCACAGAGGCGTCTGCACAGGCAGGCAGTGCACACTGCCATAGATACATGTCCCGTGGAAGTGCCTGCCTGAAGGAGTCTGTGGTTTGAGTTTTCAGTGAGTGTCTCACATAGCCAAGGCTAGTCAAAGATGTCTCCAGGCCCTGGCTCATCCTCCTAAGTGTGGGATCCACTCAGGCTGCCTGTGGAAACTCTCCTGCTGTTCCTAGTATGGCATACCAAGGTGTAGGGTGGGGCTGGGGTCAGCTCAGTGACAAGTGTGGACCTGATGTGCCCGACATCACACAAGACTGAACATTCTGTCCAACATGTGCACACATGTTTCTCACCTGGGGGTAGGGCTGCCACCTTTCCTACCTGCTCATCCTTGTGGGTGTGGGTGTCCCACATCTACTCTGTCAATTTGTCTGTTCAGCACCTGACATTCCAAAACTTTCTTGTCCTTTCTGTCTGAAGGACTTTCCAGCAAATACCTGTCTTTTGTATCTAAGGGCTTGAGAAGAATCTGTGCTTCTGATGTGATCACTGGGTGGGAGGTTGGGTCATGGTGTGTCCGCGACCCCTCTGCAGGGAGCCAGCCTCACAATGGTCCTCATGCATGTTGCCTCTTATGCATGGTCCCCGTGTAAAACAGTGTAACTAGGTGGATATGGGTGCTTTGTGCCGTGTCTAAGGAGCTGACCTGGTTTTGAGGGGCTGACTGGAAGTGTCTGCTGGGATGTGACTAAGGGGCTCGAAAGACAAGGAGGCCTCTGCCTTCACCCTGGGGGCCAAATGTGTGCCATTTTGTAGGGCCACCGGCTGCCTCATCCTGTCCGCCTGTCCCCTGGCTGGCTGCTCCTGCCATGCCAGCTGTAGTAGTGGTTCTGGCTCTGGCCTGATCTGCAGCATGCCCTCTCCTGCCCCTTCCCCGTGCCTCAGGCACTGACCCGCCTTAAAAGGCATTGGCATTCAGCTGTACAGAGCCTCGTGTCTGAGAGGAAGCGGAGGGCGCAGGAGCCTCCCCACAGCAGCACCTCTGAAAAGGTGGTCTGGCATCAGGGTTCACTGGAGCGAACTGGAGGGCTGTGGGCAGGCTGCTCTGGGCTGAATCCCTCATGCAGGTCTCCTTTAGAGGCTGCTACATAGACACAGTGACCAAGCCCCTAGCCAAACCGAAGGGCTAGCCTAGACAGGTGCTTCACACCAACAGTAGCAGGCATGTGTCTGTCATGCGAACCTCAGCTGGACTCATGGGCTGCATCTGGTAGAGTGGTCTTTGCTGGGGACCAGCCCCCATGTGATCTGCTTCCTCCTCTCCCTGGGAGTCACAGCCTGTGACAGCATCTAAGGCTCTTGACATATGTCTGCTCCTGTGACTTTGGCTCTGGCAGTTGGGAGGAACTCCTAGTGACCCTTCAAAACCCTGTGGGTGTGCTCTGGCCCTGTGTGGCTGGAAGGTATAGATTGTCTGTCTGTCCGTTGAAGCTTTTCCTTTTTGTTCTCTTTTAGGATTCCGTATCACTGAGACCATCCATCCGATTTGAAGGAAGCCAAGGAGTGAGTGTTCCCTGTCCTGACACACATGAGCTATGGAAGAGGGAGGGCACAGTTGGCTTCCTGCCGGTCTGTCTCTGAGTTGCCCCAACCCAGACTGCTATGCCCAGTGAAGGTCATGTTTGAGAGGAGGGTGGTCCTCTCGAAGGAATCCTTGGGGTACCCTCTCAAAGGTGGATGCCATTGCGTACCCCAGGGGTGGGCATGTGTGTGATTTCACATAGATAGGAACGCTCTGTGTAAAACACACCCACCTATCCTCACCACCATGTGGTTCTCAGGAGGGAGACCAGAGCCTGCTACATGCCAGGAACAGCTCTGCCACTTAGCCACAGCCTCAGGCCTCTGTCCTAATTGCTCATGTGTTGCTGTGAGGAGACACCATGACAGCGGCAGCTCTTATAACACATCTAACTGGGGGCTGGCTTACAGTTTCGGAGGACTGCTGTGTTGTCACCATAGTACAGAGCATGGTGGCAGGAAGGCAGACATGCTGCTGAAGCAGTAGCTGGGAGTTCTACGTCCAGATATGCAGTCAGAGGCTTCTGAAACCTCAAAGCTCACCTTCAGTGACATACTTCCTCCAATAAGGCTATACCTCTTAACCCTTTCAAATAATACCACTCCCTAGTGATTAAGCATTCAAATTTATGAGCCTGTGGGGTCATTCTGGCGCAGACTACCTCTTTGTACTTTTTAAAAACTAGCCTCTTGCCAGGTGGTGGTGGTACACGCCTTTAATCCCAGCACTTGGGAGGCAGAGGCAGGCGGATTTCTGACTTCGAGGCCAGCCTGGTCTACAGAGTGAGTTCCAGGACAGCCAGGGCTACACAGAGAAACCTTGTCTCGAAAGAAAAAAAAAAAAACTAGCCTCTTTAAACTACTCTTTTTTTTTCCCCCTAATTTTTCTTCAAGTCTATCTGTGCATTAAGTGCCTGGTACCCAGTGAGATAAAAAAGAGCTTTGCATGCCCTGAACCTGAGTTACAGGTGGTTGAGAGCCATCACTTAGGTGCTGGGACTCAAATCCAGGTCCTCTGCAAGAGCAAACGGTGCTGTTAGCGCTGAGCCATCTCTCCAGCCCCTACCTTTTACTTCATATTTTGATCTATTTTATCCAGAACTAGTCTTGTACTGAAAAATCCTCCTCCTCAGCCTCCTGAGTCGCTGAATTGCTCGTCTGTGTCCTTTCTAAATAACTTTTTTTGGAGTTGCTGCCTTAGCACTGACCTGGTCAGTGCCCTCTAGCCCATGAGGTGAGGTGCTGTGCTGCACTCCCTGTGTCTCTTAGGGCTCTGGAGCTGTGTGCATGTCTGAATGGGAAGAGGTCATCCTACCAACTGGCCCCTCCTGGGCATTGGCCGTGGGGCTGCAATCCCCAGGGCAGGCTGGGTGGGGCAATAGTGTTCCCATTTCTCTCCTGAGGGTGCCAAGACCCTACAGGTAAGTTCTTACATCTGGCTGTGAGTGGTAGCCAGGCATATGGCATGCCTCAGCTACCCACATAGCCTACAGTTGCTGGATCATGAAACCCTAGGGAACACAGCCATGAAGGATAGCTTCACCCCTGTATTAGTCAGGGTTCTCTGGAGAACCAGAACCGATAGTGTGTGCATGGAGAAAGAGACTTCTTAGGGTGGCTCTCAGGCTGTGGTCCAGCTGGTCCACCAATGGCTGTCTGCCAGGGAAGATCCCACAATCCACCCGTTGTTCAGTCCATGAGACTGGATGTCTCAGCTGCTCCTTAGCATGCGCCACAATCCTACAGAGGTCGGCTCTGATGCCAGTGAAGGGGTAGACTTGCTAGACAGAGCAGAGCAAGGGCAAGCCAGCAAAGTGTCCCTTCTCTCCTATCCTTTACCAAGGCTGCAGGCAGAGGGCCAGATTAAAGGTGGATCTTCCCACATCAGAGATCTGGACTAGAAGTAGATCTTCCCACTTCAAATGATTAAATTAAGAAAAAACTCCCTCACAGCTGTGCCCAGCCACTTGAGTTTTAGTTAACGCCAGATGTAGTCAAGTTGATGAGCAAGAATAGACATCACAATCCCATAATTGTGATCACTGAACAACGGGTTTGTGCTACAAGAGTGGTACCAGCCTTGTCTTTTACCACCTCTGAGCTTTGGTCCAAGGCTACAGCTCATTTGTGTGTAATGTGGGGACAGAACCCGTAGCAGCAAGCCCCAGACATTAGCCCTTAGTACACTACAACCCTACTCGTCATCCTGGGCTGGCTTCAGACTCATGATTTTTCTGCCTCAGCTTCCTTTAGAACATGCCACCTATTAAGGGTCTTGATGTCACATACCACTGGGCTGAATGACTGGTCTCCTCTTGCCTCTGCAGTCAGTGTAGCCAGAGCCAGGCTCCAGGAGCCTGACACTCGCCACTGGCATGCCACCTGATGATGGCCACCCAGGACCCTGGTATCAGGAGATTCCCAGGAGCAGGGCCTTGGCATGGGTCTCATACTCCTAGTCCAGCCCCCTATAGCATTTGCCTGTGTGCCCTGCTCCTTCATGGACCTTAAAGCTGCAGCCTCTCAGCAGTAGTAACTACTGCTGCCTGGCTGACCCTGTGATGAACAATACATGGTGTCTGTGGCTGTGTAGCATGGTTCAGCCTGAGCACACCACCCATGTTTGCAGCTGGTGAGGCAGGATGCTCAGAGACTGAGATTGCTGTGTGTCTAGAGTCAGGGACTGCAGAGGGCCTTGGATTGCTATTGGGCATGCTTGTTGTACTGTCTCCTAGGGCAGTGCTTCTCAACCTTCTTAACACTACAACCCTTTAATACAGTTCCTCATGGTGTGGTGACCCCCCCACCATAAAATTATTTCTGTTGCTACTTCATAACTGTTATAAATTGTAATGTAGATATCTATGTTTTCTCATGGTCCTAAGTGACCCCTCCAAAGGGGTCAGGACCCACAGGTGAGCAGACAGGGACCCCATAAGGAAAGATGCAGAAAACTCCAAAATGTTCAGGACCAGGGTTAGCTCAGTGGAGAGGCTGGGCAGGCTGCCCAAAGGGACAGTGGGGGTGGGGGGTGGGGGGAAGCCAAATCCCCTCTGAGACCTGCTGAGATGAAGATTAGGCCAGTGCAGAGACAGTCCCTGCAGCACTCTCCTGAAGACCAAGGACTGCACAACCACAAAAGCACTCCTTGTTTGCTTTTATTGGTTGGTTGGTTCCTCTGTGGACTCCTGTGTCCTGGAGTTCACAGAGACCAGGCTGGCCTCCAACTCCGAGATGCTCCTGCCTCTGCATACTGGGATTAAAGGCATAAGCCACCATGCCCTGCCTGGCAATGTGTTAATTTCCTTGAGACAGAATTCATGTGGTGACTAGCCTTGTTAGCCCTGTTTGTTTTGTTTGTTTGTTTTTTAAAGATTTATTTATTTACTTTATGTATGTATAATACACCATTGCTGTCTTCAGACACACCAGAAGAGGGCATCAGATCCCATGACAGATGGTTGTGAGCCACCATGTGGTTGCTGGAACTTGAACTCAGGACCTCTGGAAAAGCAGTCAGTGCTCTTATTAACCGTTGAGCCGTGTCTCCAGCTCCCTGTTTGTTTTTTTTTCAGGGCAGGAATAAACAGCCCAGCAGTTTAGAGCACTAGCTGTTCTTTCAGAGGACTCAACTTAGGTTCCCAACACCTATGTAGTGAGTAGCTGAGATTCATCCATAATTCCGGTTCCAGAGCATCCAGTGCCATCTCCTGAACTCAGGCACCAAGCACACCTGTGATCTACAGACAGACATGCAGGCAAAGCACTGGTGCAGATAAAATAAATCATTTAAAATTTTCTTTTTAAAAATAGTTATTTTTGTGTCTGGTCTCTGGAACTGAAGTTACAGATGTTTTTGAACAACCCTGTGGTTGCTGGAAATGGAACCTAGGTCCTCTGCAAAAGCAACCAGTTAGTTCCTCTTGACCACTGAGCCAGCCATCTCTCCGACCCTAAAGTTCGTGTGAGTTTTTTGTTGTTATTGTTGTTGCTGTTGCTTTTGCTGTTGTTGTTGTTGTTGTTGTTGTTGAGACAGGGTTTCTCTGTGCAGCCCTGGCTGTACTGGAACTCAGTACACCAGGCTGGCCTCGAACTCACAGAGATCCTCTGGCCTTTGCCTCTAGAGTGCTAGGATTAAAGGTTTGTGCCACCACTCCCTAGTTTATTTTCTATTTTTAATTTTGAGTATATGTGTTGGGAGAGGTGGTTGTTCACGAGCGCAGAGTGCAGAAAAGGGTGTTAGCTCCTCTGGAGTGCCACCCAGGTGCATGTGAGCTGCCATCTGGGCGCTCGGAACTGAACTTAAATGCCCTGAAAGAGCAGCGAGTGCTCTCACCTGCTGAGCCATGTGCCCATCCTGACTGCATCTTGTTCAAAACTGAGGAATACTGCTTAAAACACTTCTCACCTGTTACCTGCCCCGCCTAGTTCCCATGAAGACCCCTCCCCTCCCACAAGTCATCTTGAGCCAGCCTTACAGTGAGAGCTAAAAGTGCTCTGTGTGGGGCCAGTGCCCCTGGTGACCACACCTCAGAGCAGCAGGGTACACCCAGGCCTGGGTCCTCAGGCCGCCCACACCCTCGCACAACCTACAGCCAAGCTGTCACTCGGGCTGGCAGCAGTCCATAGGGCAGCTGAGACCCTACCTACAAGTGGCGACTGCATTGCCTGCCAGCCTAGACATGAGCAGGGCCTGAGCCACACCATCAAGTTACTCCCACTACCCATTGGGCAACTGAGGCACTCACCATGGCACCTCATGCTCCCTTTGAACTCTGGCCCTGAGTAGCTCCCCCACCTATCACCTCCACCGTGGCCCAGATAATATGGCTTCAGCACCCTGTATGTGCTCCTCCCTAGAGGCACAAAGCTCCCTTTCTAAGCCTCAGTCAGAGCCTCCAACACTGAGTGGCACACAGTGCCCTGCCTGCCTGAGCCTCTGTAAGGTCCTTTGCAGAGCCCAGGCTCCCCACCAGGATCAGGACATTAGCAAAGAGCCCAATTGTCACTGGCCATGACAACAGCCACATGTATCTCAGCACTTGTGCCAAGGGAATGTCAGCTCCAACCCAAGCCTGAAATACATGCCAGAGTCAGACGGCATGGAGCCTCCACATGCTGGGCACACGCAGAAACCCCTTGCAGTTCCTGTGCCCACAGCCAGGTGCCTGATACCTGATGCCAGTAAGCCAAGTGCTTAAGCCATACCTGGAAGGACAGTCAGGACCTTAGCAAATGGAATGAGTCTGGGTGGCATTGCCTTCATGGCTCCTTGCAGGTTGCAGGTGTGTGCACATATGTCTGTGTTGTGCATGCACATGTGAGGCTATGTGCTTGTAATCTGTGTGTGCACACACCCTACACCCTGGGTGAGGTTTGAGAGGCAGGCTGGGGTCTGATGTACTAGATGCTGGGTGCAGACCACCCTAACCCCCTCTAAGGAGCTGATAAAGGCATTTGGGGGCTGGAGTTGGGTTCAGTGGGTAGAACACTTGTCTAACAGCATTTCTGAGGTTTTGAGCTCCATCCCAGGTGCCAAGCAAACCAGGTGTGGTACACATCTGTCATCCCAGTCCTGAAGAAGTGGACACAGGACAAACAGGAGTTCAAGGTTAGCCTAGGCTATATTGTTGAATTTGAGGTCAGACTAGGCTAGGTAACCTATCTCAAAAAACAAGCACATTTAAGCTAGGAGGTGGTGGTGGCGCACGCCTTCGATCCTAGCACTTAGGAGGCAGAGGCAGCTGTATCTCTGTTAACTTGAGGCCAACCTGGTCTACAGTGAGTTCTAGGACAGCCAAGACTACACAGAGAACCTGTCTCAGAAAACCAGCCCCCCACACACACATAGATATGCACCACGTGCATTTGCATTAAGTAGACATAGGCAGTGGAGGCCTTTCCAGTTTGGTGTGGAAGGTGTGCAGATAGCAGGTGGGATGCACTGTGTCTGCAGGCAGGCTGGAAGGTGCAAGCTGTCCCGCTGGCTGCTGTTGCAGTTGTACGAGCTTTACCTGCATGGATGCCCCAGGCCAGGGCAGCTGCACTGGCCAGGTGGGAAGTCCGAGTGGCAGACAGCCCAAATAATGGCGGCTCCAGAGTGGCTGGGCTGAGCTCTTGCATTGTTTAAGTGACTGTCCTGTCCTTTCATGCCACAAGGTGCCAAAGAGGAAGGGTCCCATGTCCCTGCTGCACAGGTTGCATGTTGTAGCCAGTGCGTGGCATCTGTGGGGGTGAGTGTGGCCTGTGCTGCCGCTTCCCATGCCGAGGACCGCAGTGACACCCCTCTCTCCACAGCACATCTCCATACCCCAGCCCGACTGCCCAGAGGAGGTGCGGGCCTTCTCCTTCTACCTCTCCAACATTGGCCGAGACAGCCCTCAGGGCAGCTTTGATTGCATCCAACAGTATGTATCCAGGTAAGGCTACCTGCCCTCAGGCCCCCAGGGACCCCAAAAGTAGCACAGCTAGGCTGCCGCCTCTCCTGCGCTGTCCTAGGCTGGCATGGTGTGCCTCAAGTGGCACTTGAATGGTGAGACTTCCTCTTGTTTTGCAGCCATGGGGATGTACACCTGGACTGCCTGGGCAGCATCCAGGACAAGGTCACAGTGTGCGCCACTGACGACTCCTACCAGAAGGCACGACAGAGCATGGCACAGGCAGAGGAAGAGACTCGGAGCCGAAGTGCCATCGTCATTAAGGCTGGAGGCCGATACATGGGTGAGTGACAAGCAGTGTGTTGGGGCAGAAGCTTGGGCATGCACTACCTAGGCAGGGTATGTCTGTCCAGTGCCAAAGGAAGGTCCAGCCTCAGAGGCTGTGGCTGCAGGTGCCATGTGTGCACCAAGTGAGACAGGGCCCTGGGTCAGCCACCCTCTCCCAGCTTTTGGCCTTGCTGACCTTCATCAGAGAGGTACAGGGATATAGGTAGGTCAAGACCCCACTTAGTTGTTTTCCAGCTTTTCCCAGCCATTCCTCCATAGGTCACTGTGGCTACAACTGCAGACTGGGAGGTGAGTGAACTTTGGTAACATGGGGACAATCCATCCATCAATCCAGTGTTCCCAGGGGAGAAAAGAAACCTGTCTTGTCTTTATGATGTTTTTTAAATTTTATATAGATAGATAGATAGATAGATAGATAGATAGATAGATAGATAGATAGATATTCTCCCCTTTGTGTTTTGGTTTTGGTTTTGGTTTAGTTTGGTTTTGAGACAGCATTTCTCTATGCAGCCCTGGCTATCCTGGAACTCACTCTGTAGCCCAGGCTGTCCTGGAACTCAGAGAGATCAGCCTGCTTCTTCCTGTAATATGTTTTCAAGGCCGATCACTGTACCTTGAATGGTCTCCTGTGGAGGACTGTTTCTCAGGAGTTCAGCAGTTCTCGGCTTCCTGTAATTCTTTGTGTAGCATTGAGGCCTTCTGGTCTTTCCCTGTCCACTTTAGCATATGTAGTGAGTTTGAGGCCAGCCTGGTCCACTGAGACTCTGTCAGAGGGGTGGAGAGTAAGGGCTGGAGAGATGGCTCAGCAGAGGACCCAAGTTTGGTTCGAGATTCCCAAGTGGCCACTCACAACTGTAACCCCAGTTCCAGGAGGCCCAGTTCCCTCTTCTGGCCTCCTTGGCCATAGCACACATGTGCACAGACATAACAAACATGCAGAATACTCATACATATAAAATAGTGGGCATTTCTCATTGCTGCCACCCTGCCACACACTTGTGTGGGGAGCTCTGGTGGGACTTGAGTAGTTAGAACATGGCTAGACCTTATCACAGGCACTGTTGTGGCCCTGGTAATAGGGCCTTGTGCTATCCCTGGTGACAGTGGCCTTCTCCTCAAAGCTAAATGGGGTGTGCACAAGTGTGAATGCATCTGTGGTTAGCAAACTCATTTTTCACACCTTGTTGGGTACCATGATGACTTCTAAGACAGATGAATATAATTAATAGGCACACTTGTCTCAGCACCCAGGGGGCTGAGGCAGGAGGATGGGGAATCAAGATAGCCTGTCTCAAACCACCAAAACCTTCATAGCCTTGAATGTACTCAACTCCAGTCCAGAGTGTCTGATTGGCCTCAGCTCACCCCTCTGACCTGAGGCCAGGCACATCGTTCTGAACCAGTTGTGAAGGGAAGTATTAGTACTGGAGGAGATCCTCCTGGCCCAAGGTCTCCAGGTTCCTAGCTTGCTCTGTCCGGAACAGCTGTTCAAAATGGCCTCCTGATGACTACAGCTGCCACAAAGCACACTGATTGAGGCCATGGGTCTCTCTACTGTATCGACTGGGGCAGCCCGGGCACTGTGACTCATGCTACCTCTAAAGTTGCTGTGGAATCCTGCCCGAGGGTACCTATGCTTCAGGCGAGGGTTCTGATTTTGCATACAGGGGTCCACATATCCTGTGGTGGTTGGTGTTCCACGTTCCCCAGGCCCTGCCTGGGACTATGTCAGTCATCAGTGCCTTCTGCCTTTGGGCTGTGGCAAGATGCCCACACATTCACACAGTTTCTCAGTCTCTCCCCACCTCTCTCCTGTTGCCTAGTGCTTGCTGTGATGTACTGTGGACCACTGATGCTGTTCTATGTGGTTGCTTCCTGTGTCCTGAACCAGGCTCTCGTTTCAGGGAAAAAGGTTCAGTTTCGGAAGCCAGCACCAGGGCCAGCTGATGCAGTGCCCTCCCGGAAGCGTGCCACCCCCATTAACCTGGCAAGTGCCATCAGAAAGAGCAGTGGGAGTGGAGCCAGCAGTGTGCTACAGAGGCCCTTCCGAGACCGGGTGCTACACCTCCTGGCCCTGAGGCCCTACAGGAAGGCTGAGCTGCTGCTGCGGTTGCAGAAGGATGGGCTAACACAGGCAGACAAGGATACCCTGGACAGCCTGCTCCAGCAGGTGGGTACAGACCAGCCTGATCTCATGTGTTGTGTGAACAAGCAGTGCAAAAAGACTTGTCCAGGCTTCCTGGCTTCGTGGTGGGCTCAGGCCTATCCTCTTGAGGTCTTCAATGCCCCCCTAGCTGGGTCCATGACAGGTGACGCCTGCAGAACTATATGGTGCACAAACTGCCCGGCAGCCATGACCTGGTGACTTGCTAAGAGCCTGTGTCTGTGGCTGACTGTTAGCCCTGAACTGTTGATGGGACAGCCTGGTACATATGGGGCATGTCGACCTGCTCTCTCCACCCTGGAGACATCTTGGGGCTCTGAAAGGTAAGCACTGATGCGGACTTCCTACCCTGGCTGAGGGCTGGTGAGTTTGCTCAGTACAAAAGGAACTTGCTGTCTGGTGACCTGAGTCCAGTCAGAGCGCTCATTCCCCACCCTGATAAACAACAAACAAATTCAAGGGCCGGAGAGATGGCTGCTCTTACAGGCAGACATGCCGGGCGGTGGTGGCGCGAACCTTTAATCCCAGCACTTGGGAGGCAGAGGCAGGCGGATTTCTGAGTTCGAGGCCAGCTTGGTCTACAGAGTGAGTTCCAGGACAGCCAGGGCTATACAGAGAAACCTTGTCTCAAAAATAAATAAAATGTTAACACCAGCCAGGCTTTGGGGACAGCATAGAGGTGGATTGAGGTGGCCTGGCCCCTGTGCTCTGGTGGCAACATAATATCAAGTCTCGGAGAAATCTCTGGTATCAGGAGAGACCTTGGTCAGCCCCTGCCTCAGACTGTGGAGTGCATGCATGCAGTATGCGATGGAGCCAGAGGCACCTGAGGCTCTGTGCAGCTCCCAGGGCCTCTGACCAGCCATGCCAGGTCTGACCTTGAGCAGACCTGTCAGCTGGTACTCTTGAGTGTATGATGCATCTTGTGGGGGCAGCAGGACCCCGCAGGGTTTGAAAAGGAGCCTATCTTGAGCAGGGGCCACAACCTGGTCAGGTCTTGTGCAGTCTCCACAGGTCATCAGAGTCCTTGAGCATCTGCAGGGAGGAGCCATAGCCTTTCATGACTATGTCTTTAGTGTCGGCAGGGTGGCCCAGGGTATTAGACGCATCAGGGGATATCTTAGGTAGTGTTGGTCAGTGAGGCCGCTGCCATCACGGAGAAGCCTGCGTATGGAAGTAAGTGCTCCTGTTTGGGGTAGCCGTGAGTGAATGGCATGGCAGTACACCATTTCAATCTTAGTGCTGTCGTGAAGTCGACTATTAGTAAAAGGCTCTGCCAGGTTAGCATGCTGGCATACCTGTGGTCCCAGCATCCTCAGATAAGAAATTCTGAGTTCAAGGCCAGCCCGGGCTATAAGGCAAGGCTGTATCTTCAAAGCCCATTAAATATAACTCATCCCTCTCAGTTCTTACAGGTTGTGACCTTGGTACAGTTGAATGGCCAATGTGTGCATATGCTACACTCTGGCACCTAGCAAGGCCAGCACAGACATAGCCTTGGTCCCTTTAAGGCCTCTCATCAGATTCTTTGAGCCTGAGACAACCTGAGATGAAGTAGCTCTGTGGCAGGGAGAGAGGACTGGCAGGTGGTCACCATCTGAAAGGGTAGGGGTCATGGTGGGCTGTGAGCATATGGATGACATGCTGTGCCTCATCAAGACTGTCGGGGCCTTCAGCAGCTCAAGTGCAGGGGACCTGAGGTGGTGTGGCATGGTCCAGTGCTCCCTAGGCACTCATACCCCCAACCCCCACCCCTACTGCCCCCACAGACAGTGATGGTCAGTGAAAACTGGATATGTTGCAGGTGGCCAGTGTGAACCCCAAGGATGGCACGTGCACACTGCAGGACTGCATGTACAAAAACGTGCAGAAGGACTGGCCCGGCTACTCTGAGGGTGACCAGCAGCTGCTGAAGCGCGTGCTCATGCGGTAAGACATGCACTGGGGGCAGCAGGCTGGCACACACGCTCTGGCCTCGGCCTGCTGGATGGCTCACAGTTATGACAATTCCCAACCAACTGTGCAGCCTCCTCTGGGCCAGCGTGTCCCATCCATGTCCCCATGGCTTCCTGTGAGCCTCTGGGGCCCACAGCAGGGTGTGGGGTAGACTCCAAGGGGGCAGCAGTAATCACACAGCAGGGTGTGGGGTGGACTCCAAGGGGGCAACAGTAATCACACAGCAGGGTGTGGGGTAGACTCCAAGGGGGCAACAGTAATCACCCACTCCCCTGGGTGCTGGTGCTATGAGCGGAGCAGCTCACTGGTTCCTGAGTGATTTCTCCGTGAAAGATGCTATCGATTTCTCAAATTCGGGGACACCACTACACTCTGGGCTCATCCCCCACCTATGCCTTGGCTGGTGCCTGGCTTCCAAGTGCTTGGAGCGGCTGAGAGGGCACATCTTGACAGAAGCCCCAGGCTTGCTGCCTGCCACATGCTTCTGGGCAATACAGCCAGCTTACTTGCTTTTTTTTTTTCTTTTTCTTTTTCTTTTTCTTTTTTCCTGACAAGGTTTCTCTGTGTAGCCCTGGCTGTCCTAAAACTCATTTTGTAAGCCAGGCTTTCCTTTAACTCAGAAATCTACCTGCCTCTGCCTCCTGAGTGCTGGGATTAAAGGAGTGTGTTACCATGCCTGGCTTCTGTTTTTGAGTCGGTGTCTTACAGAGATAGTACAGGCCTTAACTCCTGCCCATCTTCTGTCTTCACTCTCCAGTGGTGCTGGGCTGACACATGTGTGCCATCGTCAGGGTCACCTAACCCAAGTGTTCCACAAGCACAGGTGTACAGGGCCAGCATGCCGGGACCACACACAGGTCACAGCTGACACACACACAGGATGGCCTGTGTGCTGGTGGGGTCCTGATGTGCTGCAGGCAAGGGATGTGTTCATATCTGGTCTGCAATTCTCCATCTCATTGACAAGCCAGGGCACTAACTGCCTGCACCTCAGCATGCCAAAGTGGGAGTCCTCCCTGAGCACCCAGATGGGCTCTGCTTGGCAGCTCCCCTGTGCACAGCCCAGCTTTAGTTCTGAGAATCTGGCCCTCTCTGTGCAGACATAGTCCCCGGGGCACAGTGGCAGTGCCACCATAGTGCCTCTACCACTCCTCTGCAGGAAGCTGTGTCAGCCACAGAGTGCCACTACAGACTCCAGCCCACCCCGAGAGCACGGGCGCTGCGCCTCACCCTCTCAGGTACCTGCCTGGGGGTGGTTGAGTGTGGGGTCCTTACTGGTGCCCCACAGCCTTTGCAGCCAATGTCCACTGCCTGAGCCACACGCCTTGCAGGGACTTGCTGTCTTTGGGGCTAGAAGTGTCTCTCTGGGTAGCTGTATGCCTCAGGCACCTTTACTGCCCAGTAAGGGCAGTCTTCTCTGGGTGCTTCTTCTCTTGTGTGTGGCCAGCTCTGTGTGCGGGCGCCCCCGTGTGGCCTCAGCAGACCTTGCAGGTGGCTACTCGTTCCCACATACTTCCCTGCTCAGCCTAGTCTCCGTGACTTTTCAGAAACGGCCACAGTCTACAGACTTCATTGACCCCCTGGCCAGCAAGAAGCCCCGGATCTCACATTTCACACAGCGAGCACAACCCACCCTCAATGGCAAACTGGGTGCCCCCAATGGCCATGAGACTCTGCTGCCTGCTCCAGGACCTACCCCATCAGATACCCTCAGCTCTAGCCATCTGCCCCCACGGCAGGAGCCCCCACGGACCCACGACCCCCTGGCTGATGTCAGTAATGACCTAGGCCACAGTACCCAGGACTACAAGCACCAGGAGGCCACTCCAGCTCCAGCACCCCACCTTAGTCTTCCCCTGCTGACGGACTTTCCTCAGGCTGAGCAACCTACTGGCTCCTCACACATCCATAGCCGACCCAAGAAGAAGTCCAAGAAGCACAAAGACAAGGAGCGGCCCCCTGAAGAAAGGCCCCCCGCCCCACAGCCTGATGCATCCACTGCCCCTGCACTGCCACCAGATGCCCCAGGTCAGTACCACTTGGTCGTCTCCTCTCGTATGCAGGATGTGAGATGACCACTGGCATCAGGACTTAGGGCCACCGTGGCAAGCCACCAGCTGACCACCCAGTGCTTGGGGCTAGGAGCTGAAGCACTCAGACAGAGGTAACATGGAAAGCATCGCTGAGGTACCCTGAGCCGGAGAGGCAGAGGGAGAGTAAAGAGAGCAGCTGTATGGAGGTATTTACCCAGGCCAAGGCACAGATAGGTACACTAAGCCCAGGGAGCCAAGTTTCCTGGGACCGGAGGACACTGAGAAGTGAGGCATCTCTGTGGCTCCTGACACAGCAGGGCGTGTGAGGAGCCCTGTGTACCAGGAGGCCTTGAAAGCGGCTCCTCTCCAGGTCTGCACAGTTCAGACCACTCTCAGCAACAAAGTCTCCCATCTTCCTACTAGGATGGCCCATTAAGCCCCACTTAAAGCATTCCACTGCTTTCCAAATCTAAAATCCCAAAACCCATATTTTTCCAAACAAAAGCATGCAGGCCTATCACAGCAATACCCATCCCTGGTACCAAGTTCTGTCTTAGTTCGGGTTTTCTGCTGCTGTGAACAGACACCACGGCCAAGACAAGTCTTACATATACAGATCACCACAACACCCATGACGAGATGTGCTCCTGGCACCCAAGCCTCTTAGAAGTTACGTAGTGGAAGAGGTGGTTGCAAGACCTTCAGGGGCTGGTGGGGCCACTCTGGGCTCTACATACAGCTACCACACCTGCCCAGTGCTGTCTGCAAGAGGCTCAGCTGCCACACAGCTGCTAGGAGTGCTTTGTCCGACGGGACACTTCAGAGGGTCTTGGGAACACACAGGGCACACAGGAGCACATAATTCCACAGCCTCTCTCCAGCTAGTCACCTCTGTGATAGATCTCAGACAGTGCACATTTGTCTGTGACAGTTCCCAGGAACAGACACAGCAGACACTTGTCTGTGACAGATCCCAGACACAGATGGGTTGCAGGTATCAGAACTGGTCAGTGGCCACCTGGCCCATACGTGCTTAGGCAGGATGTTTCAGCCACACAGGACACTCTCTTCCCTCCTTCCATCGAGGCCCAGCCCATGGGATGACTCTGCCTGTCAGCAGAGCCTGAGCCCCCCTCCCCCGCCCTGTCTCTGTACCTGTGGAACAATTCTTGGCTGGATCAGCACCAGAGTGCAGTTTTCCCAACCTATTTTTGTTGTTGTTGTTGTTGTTTGTTTTGTTTTTAATTGTTTGCATTGCTGGTGACAGGCCCAGGGCCTCACACTCAGTGAGGTGAGCACCTGCCACTGAACCAACAGCTTGTAGAGCAGCACCGTGAGTTAGGGCCCTGCAGCTGGAGTGAGTTAGGCTGAGGGATATGATTAGAAGAGGGTATGTGGGGACCTCAAAGCTGCTGATTGAGGGAAGCAGCAAGTACCCCTGTCTCCCCAGGTAGCCTAGGCTCAGAATCAGACCCTGTTTCAGAGAGTCCAATAAATGGGGTAAATGACTGCAGAGTGGTGCTCTACCTGACAGGCAGCCCCAGCCCAGACCTTGCTTGCTCCAGCTGCTCCTGGTACTAGGTTTGGTGAGGGAGGTCATGTGGAGGACCCCTCCTGCAGCGTGTGCCGTGCAGAGGACAGTAGGGTCTGACTGGGGGCCTCAAGTGAAGACGAGCCAACAAAGTCTGCAATTTGCCTGTCGTCAGAGGTCCTACCATTTGCCCTTTGACTGGGTGGCTGGGGTTTGTGTCCAGCCCATTGCTGATGCCCTACACAGCCAGACACTGGCAAGTTCTGTGGGTGTGCCTAAAGGGCCCTTGGAGACAGCATAACTGGTCTGTGTGGCTGTGGACTGGACAGTCCCTTCCCACTGTAACCAGCTGGGGGTGCATGATCTACTGCTGGTGCCAACTTGTGGCTGCCAGCATGGCCGCACCACAGACGCTGGCCCTGGAATAAGAATGCATTCCTCTGTAGGTCTGAATGGAGCCTGTGCCAGTGTTTCCACATCCTCATCAGAGACCCCGGACTACTTGCTGTGAGTGTCTTACCTAGGCTCTGCCCCACTCCAGGCCCATCCAGGCCCTTCCTGAGTCAGGTACCACTACCCATTATGGCCCCTGAGCCTCTGCAACCCTTCTTGTTCCTCAGGAAATACCCAGCCATCTCGTCATCAGAGCAGCGTCAGAGCTACAAGAATGACTTCAATGCTGAGTACAGCGAGTACCGCAGTCTGCATGCACGGATTGAGCAGATCACTCGCAGGTTCACACAGCTGGATGCACAGCTCAGACAGCTCAGCCAAGGCTCTGAGGAGTATGAGGTATGCAAGCCACCCAGAGCCAGCAGGGACTCGTGGACAAGTTTGCCCATGAGTCCCTGCAGTGGGACTGGGCTGGGTCCTAACCTCACACATCAGGCTTCTGGGATGACCAGTGCCCTTTCCCTAGTGTGGCTGCTTCAGTGTGTCCTCCCCCATCGTGTCCCCTGCTCCCCTGGAGCAGTAGACAGGCCAGAAGAATTACAGGAAGGCAACCTGCTTCCCGCGGCTCTACTGTGTCTATTTAGCTGCTCACTTCCAAAGAGGGCTGGCACTTGGGGCTTCCCCAAGTGGGACATCATTAATTCTTGATGTTTCCCCTCAGACAACCCGTGGGCAGATTCTTCAGGAATACAGGAAAATCAAAAAGGTATGTGAGGCAGAGTGGGTGCTGAGAGAAGCCTACCTGACTTGTCAGGTGGATGTGTCTCACCTGCCCTTCATCCTGTCACAGACCAACACCAACTACAGCTGTGAGAAGCGACGCTGCGAGTACCTGCACCGCAAGCTGGCGCACATCAAGAGGCTCATCGCAGAGTATGACCAGCGGCAGCTCCAGGCCTGGCCCTAGCACAGACAGGCAGTCCTGATGGCTCCGCCTGCCTTTTCTAGTTTTATATGAACTCGGCCCTTTAGCTGCCGCAGAGACCGTCTATTTTTGTACCTTTTCTACTCCGTGCCTCCTCCAAGGCCCACGCCTCCAAGTGTTAGAAGCCCCAGGGAGAGCGAGCAGCGAGTGCCAGGCCCTGCTGCCTTCAGATCCCCAGCTGACAAGGTTGCTGCAGTTTCCTGGCTGTGCCCAAAGCCCTTAGCAGCGGCCTCCGCAGCATGTGCTCCTCAGTCCCCACACACTGCCCTTTATGTCACACTGTGGCTGTGTGTCCCGTGCTGCTGGCCTTGTCTGTCCTTCCATCCATCTGTGGGTCCTGGGATCACCTCCCTGCTGGGTTCCCACTTGAGGGGGTGCTGAGGGTGGCACCTTGCTTGCCTTCTCTAGGGCGCAGGCCTGTGGCCCCCAATTGCTGCTTTCTTACTGTGCCTCGTCTCATACCCCAAGATCCAAATCCAAGGGGCCATTGGTGTGCATGTGTCTGTGTGTGTATGTGTGCATTTGGTGTGAGTGGGTTCTGAACACATTCAGAGGGAAGCCATTTTGGGGAAGTGGTGGGGGCCACAGGGTTGCTCACTTGCTGCTACTCACAGCGGTAGGGCAGGGAGAGAATGTCGGACTCAGATGTCTAGTTTTCTAAACCATGAGGCTGTCTTTGGGTGGCTTCCAAAGAGCCTGGCTGCCTGGAGACACCTGCCTGGTCCAGTCCCACCCTAGCCAGCTCCTGCTTTCCTTTGGGATTCCTGGAATCTCCAGACTGTAGAGGAGCCAAGCCTGCATGTTTCAATAGATGTTGGTTTCTAAGTGGGGGCAGGGCCAAGTTCTGCATGGTGCACTTCCCACACAGCTACACTGCACAGGCTCAGGGTAGATCCCAGGCTGCCCCTCTCCCGCCCTGAGAACTCCATCCAGGGCTATTGGCTGAACTGGTCTGTTTGGGTTCTTTTGTTGTCTGAGATTTTGTCTGTCTGAGATTTGGGGATGGCAGGGCCACACTCTGGGGCTGCAGGTTAAGCATGGTCTAACTTATTGGTATTCTCCCCGCCTTTGAACTGTGCTGTGGAGAAAGTCTACTTTGAGCCATGGAGTTGGTGTTTACAAAGTCTTCACTTTTGCCAAAACGTTACAATTGACAGGCAGTACCTCCAGATCCTTTCTTAGAGTCTGTCTTCTGTACACCAAACAGGTGAACCGCCAGCTTTCCAAGTCTATAATAAAATTTGATGGGATTGAACCTCGCTGTGGCTTGAGTATGTCACTGTAGGGTGTGGGGTGGCCCTAAGTGACCAGAGCCCTGTGTGGTGAAGTGAGGTGTGAGTCCCACCAGGCAGGCTCGAGAAGTGAGAGCTACTAGATAGGTGGGCACCACCACAGTGCTGGGCGCAGGCAGCCTGGGCTGTCCTGCAGCACTGAGGCCTTCGGGTGTGGGGCTGGGGGGAAGGGGCTGCCCTCTACTAGGAAGACTGGGACAGAAAGATTGCTTCAAACTGACACTGTTTTAAAAACAAAAGACCCCAGCAAGAGGTACCTGTCTCAGAGCTGACAGTCCAGCTAGCATCTGAGGCCATGGAGGCTGAGCATGGCCACAGCAGCCCCTGGCTCCACACAGCACAGGCTGGGCATGCATCCTTGGCAGCATGTTTGTTTTCAAAGGGAAAAGCGAAAGGCAGCCTGTGAGGGAGGGCCGGGGTTAGTCGGCCTCCCTCGAGGCCTTGGCTGGACTTCTGACAGGAGTTCTGAGGCAGCTGAGGGGGCGGAAGGAGAGTCAGGCAACTTGTGGGCCGCTATGTACCCACCACCTAAGAACAGCTTGACCATGCCCTTCCATCGCCTTCCTGGAGCCCAGGGCTAACCCTTGTCCCCACGCACCTCCCAGCCTGAGCAGTCTGCTACAGCTACCGCACCTCCCAACCCCACCCTGCTCTAGGATGTCCTGGCGAGAAGAAACCTTCTGGGGACCGAATCCTCTTCCTTGGCCTTGCTCCCAACTCTGAGCCTCTTGCAAAATGAATGTCCCAGTGCAGTCTCTCCGCCTCAACCTCCCAAATGCTGAGGTGACCGATGTTGGCCACCAGAGAGTTTTATTAACTGAAAGAGACTGATTAAATAATCTGTCATTTGTATTCAAGTCCGCCACGAGAGGACAGGGAAGGGCCTGCAGTCTAAGGCACAATCCATTTCCCTATGATACTCCTCTGCCCACAGGTCAGCCTCACTTGCATCTGAGCCCCTCCCCGGAGCTTTACTTTAGGGGGTACAGTGGGTTCCGCCTGTAGTTCTCCCTTGACAGTCTCCCCTTCATACATCAAAACCCTTCCCAACAGCCCCCTCCTCTGGGAACCCTGCCTGGGTCTCTTCACCCGGATGAGTTCAGTTGGGCTGGTTCTAGTTAACTAAAGCAACGGCTGGCAAAAAAAAAAAAAAAAAGTCTTGACGCCCACAGAGCGTGGCCTTCTCTTACTTTCGCGCACACTGTTCGGACAATCCACCTTTTTGGCACAGCTCCAGCGGTGGAAAGTTTCCGCTAGGAGGAGGCCACTTGTTTTGGAAAGTTCTGGGGACACCTCCCCCGCCTGCCCGCCGGGTTCCCACGTTCCTTATCACTGTGCCTGCCCAGGGGGAGGCCGCTTTGACCTGGCCATCCTGTCTCCTTCTCTGGGCAGGGCCACGCAGACCAGTGCTCAGGACTGGAGGATTGGGAGAAGGCAGGACAGCCAGCCGTGCAGCTCTGAGACTCTCCCCTCCCCCTCAAAGGCCCCTCGCCCAGACATGCCCCACCTCCCTGGCGGTGGCCGTCGCTCATTGGCTGCCTCGTGGTACAAGGGTGCGCAGCGAGGTAACGCGCACAGCATCGCGCCTGAGACTGCTTCCGGCCACCTGGGTTTCGAGCGCCCAGAACCCTGGTCGCAAGCCACACCCAGCAGGGGCGTGGCCGGGGCGTGGCATCGGCTCTTTTCTTCGCTGCCCGCGAGCCCTAGGGCCCACGCTGTCGGCTGCCGCAGTCTGGTCCAACTCTGAGCCGGTAGGTGTGAACCTGTTCTAGGCCGTAGGGTTGGCTCCCTGGCAGTGATCCCGCGCTCACTGGCTCTGGCCCGCAGCTCGCCGCGATGGAGCCCGCCGCCGAGATCCTGGTGGACTGCCCGGACGTGGTCTACAGCCCCGAAGCCATCGAGGCGCGCTACGAGTACCGGACAACGCGCGTCAGCCGCGAGGGCGGCGTGCTGCGGGTGCGCACGGGGCGCGGGCGGCGGCGGACACTGGGAGCCCGAGGTCCCGCGACTCACTCCTGACTCTTCCTTAGGTGCAGCCCACGACTACGCGTTTCACCTTCCGCACCGCCCGGCAGGTGCCCCGGCTTGGGGTCATGTTGGTCGGCTGGGGCGGAAACAACGGCTCCACGCTCACTGCGGCTGTTCTAGCCAACCGGCTGCGCCTGACCTGGCCCACGCGCACGGGTCGCAAGGTGGGGGCCGTGGCTGCCAGGAGAACACCGAGGGGCGAGCAGAACTGGGAGGGGGTGGAGGAGGGAGTGGCTTGTGGGGTAGAGTCTCCGCGAGCCGGACCCCTCCGTCCCTCAACACCCTACTCTGCTTGCCACCCCCCCCCCCAGGAGGCAAACTATTATGGCTCGTTGACCCAGGCGGGCACCGTGAACTTGGGTCTGGATGGGAACGGCCAGGAAGTGTTTGTGCCCTTCAGTGCGCTGCTACCCATGGTGTCCCCCAACGACCTGGTGTTTGACGGTGGGCAAAGCCTCGGGACGGGATGGGGATAAGTGTGGGAGGGCCCAGGGTCCGGGATGGGTCCGGTGTTAAGGGTCCCCGCAACCCAGGCTGGGATATCTCGTCTCTGAACCTGGCCGAGGCGATGCGGCGCGCACAGGTCCTAGACTGCGGTCTGCAGGAACAGCTGTGGCCACACATGGAGAGCCTGCGTCCGCGGCCCTCAGTCTACATTCCTGAGTTCATCGCTGCCAACCAGACAGCACGTGCGGACAACCTCATCCCTGGCACACGTGCCCAACAGGTGGGGTCCTCAACCTGCTCCCAGGCCTTACTGTCACCTGTTACATGGCCACATGGTCTCTCCCTTTGGCAATAATACCTACACCCCCAGGCCCAAGCCTCTGGACAAGTTAGACAACCTCTACCTACTTTTCCTCCTTCCTTTCCCAGTTGGAGCAAATCCGAAAGGACATTAGAGACTTCCGATCCAGTGCCGGATTAGACAAGGTCATCGTGCTGTGGACCGCCAATACCGAGCGCTTCTGCGAGGTGGTCCCGGGTCGCAATGACACAGCTGAAAACTTGCTGCATACTATCCAGGTGTGCATAAGCCCAAGATTCCTGGGGATCAATGCCATTCCGGAGGAACCCTTGGCCGACTATTTCTCTGCCCTCAGCTTGGCCTGGAGGTGTCACCGTCCACACTTTTTGCTGTGGCCAGCATCCTGGAGGGCTGCGCCTTCCTCAACGGGTCCCCACAGAACACACTGGTGCCCGGTGCCCTGGAGCTGGCTTCGCAGCGCCATGTGTTCGTAGGTGGTGACGACTTCAAGTCAGGGCAGACTAAGGTCAAGTCTGTTCTTGTGGACTTCCTCATCGGCTCTGGCCTCAAGGTACCTGCGGGCTTCATGCGGTGCCGCCGGGAGGAAGGAGGCCAGGGTGAGGGTACCGCATAGCATCCACTGTCTCTCTGACCATACAGACCATGTCCATCGTGAGCTATAACCACTTGGGCAACAACGACGGACAGAACCTGTCTGCACCGCTGCAGTTCCGCTCCAAGGAGGTGACAAAGAGCAGTGTGGTGGACGACATGGTTCAGAGCAACCGTGTGCTCTACGCGCCTGGAGAGGAGCCAGACCACTGTGTCCGTTGGGCTTGCAGGCAGCAGCCACCAAGGGCAGGGGCTTGGTGCCGTTTAGGGCTGTGTGACTTTTTAAATCTCCACAGGTGGTGATCAAATATGTGCCCTATGTTGGTGACAGCAAGCGTGCCCTGGATGAGTACACCTCAGAGCTGATGCTGGGTGGGACAAACACCTTGGTGCTCCATAATACCTGTGAGGTGTGGTAGGCGCGGCTGGGCAGGCGGGGATGCTGGGTGGGACCTTGGTGCTCCATAATACCTGTGAGGTGGGGTGGGCATGGCCGCGCGGGGTGGGCGTTGCTCCCTCAGACCCTCATCACAGGCTGCACCACCCCCATCCAGGACTCTCTCCTGGCCGCACCAATCATGCTGGACCTAGTTCTGCTCACTGAGCTGTGTCAGCGAGTGAGTTTCTGCACAGCCTCGGACCCCGAGCCTCAGGGCTTCCACCCAGTGCTGTCAGTGCTCAGCTTCCTCTTTAAGGCACCGCTTGTGCCCCCTGGCAGCCCTGTGGTGAATGCCCTCTTCCGCCAGCGCAGCTGTATCGAGAATATTTTCAGGTGCTCCTGGTGGTGGGTGGGACGAAGGGCTGGCAAAGACAGTCTTGAGGTAGCCTTGCTGAGCTTGCACTGTCCCCTACAGGGCTTGTGTGGGTCTCCCGCCCCAGAACCACATGCTGTTAGAGCACAAGATGGAGCGTCCTGGCCCAGGCACCAAGCCAGGAGAGGTGTCGGCCACCAGCTCACTGCCTTGCAAGAAAGAGTCCACAGCTGCCACCAATGGCTGCACCGGCGATGCCAATGGGCACCCGCAGGCACCGACACCAGAGCTGTCCACTGCTTAAATCAAGTGACCGGACCTTTCTACCCCCAACGACTCCAACTTGCCAAAGACAATAAAGGGTCTCCCATCAAGAAAGCCTCCTTGTGTGCTTTTTCCAGGAAGGGGTCTCAGGCTAACCTGGAATTTGCTGTAGACAAAAAACTCACACGAGCCCAAGGGCCAAGTAACAAGACACCAGCAGTACCAAACACAAAACTGAATGGCATTTATTGGCAGAACCCCTGTCCCCACCCACACCCACCCCCCAACCCTGTGGCAGCACACAGGTCCGAAGGCCTGCACTTCTCTGAGGTCCTTTTGAGTTTGTGTTTGTGTATATGTGTGTTTAGAAAATGAGAATAGTCCTTCGTGGGGGCCCTGCCGGCCGGTCTAGCCAGGAGTCCGGATGGCAGGGGTGCTGCCGCGACCCGAGACCTCACCAGCAGGACCCTGGGCTCAGGCCAGGGCTATCACACGCTCATGGTCATGCCGGGGGAGTACTGCGGAGAGAGGGCGGCGCGCGGAGCGCGGCTCAGCTCCGGCCGAGGCTGGGGCCCGCCCTCCCGGGGACAAGGGGAACCCGGGGAGGATGGGAAGGAGGGGGAAGGTGCCGCGGCCGCCCCCCCACCTGGCCCGCCGCGGTCACGGTCTTGCTCTGGCCCCGCGGCCGCCCCGCCGGGGTCTGCCCGCCAGGCCCCTCCGGCCCGCCGCGGCCGCGGGTGGGGAGTCGACGCAGGCGCTTACGCTTTCGCTCGGGAACGGGTGCAGGAAGGTCCCGGCAGCCGCCATCTCGCCGTCGTCGCGCGGGGTCCCCGGGGCGTTGCTCAGGCCGCCCACGGCGCCGGGGGAATTCTGGGGGCGGCGCTGGTCAGCGCGTGGGTCCTCACCCCGCCCCAGGCCATCTGCCCCCGCCCACCCAGTGTGCAGGACCTCACCTTCGGCAGCCCGTCCATATCGCCCGAGCCTGCGGGGAGAGACACTAGGTTCAGGCGCTGGGCACGGAGCACAGGGACCGGGTACCCCGGAGGCTTTCGTTCCTGTAACCTGGGGGCGATGGGTGCACGGCTATGCCCAGGGGCCACCCGCGAGTTTGGGGACAGGGGTCTCTCAGAATCTCTCCTAGTGGCGTGAAGATCAGGGCACTAGCCGATGTAGGCGCCGGCAACCGGGTATCTTAATAGGCTCCCCCACCTTACGGTGCTCCCCCACCCCACCACTGATGAAACCGGTAGGTGGCGCCCAGCCACTCACCCAGGGATCCGTTCACGTGGTGCGGCTCCATCGTGCTCATTGAGGCCATTGGGCCCTCCGGGCTGGGGCCGAGAGGGAACTGCGGGCACAGGGCAGCGTGGGACTCGGGTCGGCCCTCCCCCGAAGGGTCCCCGTCAGGTGAGACGCACCGGCCCCCACTCACGTTAGCCCTGCCAGCGCCCGGCCCGATGGGATTCATGATGGTGTACATATTCTCGCTGGAGTTGGTGGAGTCTGGGGGGAACAACAGGGGCTGCGTGGTGGGTGCGTGGAATGGAGACCCCGTCCGGGTGAGACCCCGGCTCACCCCAACTGGCATGCTCCTTACCTCCAGGGCTGGGCATGATGGGTGTTCCAGGGGCGCCACCGCCTCCTGCAGGTCCCTGCATGGAGACATGAGAACTGAGACAGGGTTTCTTCCTGCCTGTAGCCTGCAGGTCCTACCATGCACCCGCAGGGACTCACCGAGTAGCTGCCAGGAGAGGAGGAAGAGTACGGGATCTGGGAACAGGCAGGGACAGCTGTGAGCAGTCAGTGGCAGGCAGCTGGCTCCAGCCCTCCTTCCCCAACACACACTGCCTGCCACTCACCGAGTTACCGCTGGGACTGGCCCACGGGCCACGCACTCCCGGACCCCTGTAAGAGATTGCAGCCCTGCAGCAGACCAAGCAATCTGGGCCTGGCACTTGTCATTCCCCAGAGCTAAGTGGCTCTTTTGGCCTCGGTTTCCCCTCCAAATACTTGGTGGAATAAACAATGCACAGGCTGTCCCTGAACACATAGTAAACCTGCCTCAGCAGAGGGGACTAGCTGGGTGATCACAAGTCTTAAGGTACCCTAGGAGCTTACATGTTCATGGGTGGCAGGACCTGGCTGGTGGCAAGGGAATTGGGTGGGGGCCGCATGCCAGTTCCATAGCCCTGTTGAGGCAAAGGGTTAATCAGAAAGAAACCAGCTGTGGCCTTGCTGTCCCCCCAATAGGCTGGCCCACCCCTTACCTGGGGGCCAACACTGGCCATTCCCCTCGGAGGGGTCACCCTCTGCATCGGGCCTCCCAGGCTGGGGTGCCCTGGGCAGAGACACAGGGAAGAGGGTTCAGGCCTGGGCACTCCTAGGCATGACAGCACACCCCAGAGGGAGTCCTGTGGGACAGCAGCTGGGGTGTATCTGTTACTCACCCTGTGACCGTGGGGAGGGGTCCATTGGACCAGGGATGAGGGGCTGGGAGCCAGGAAGGCCCACAGGAGGCTGTGGGGCAGGCACAGTACTGAGTTGGGAGAGACATCCCCATGGAGCAAGTGCTCCTCCCACCCCGGCCCTCTCTCACCTGGCCTGGCATCCTTAGGATTGGGCGGGCACCCCCTGGGAACCGAGGTGACATGAAGGGCTGGAAGAGGTGGATGGGGTCAGTAACCTTCATCTTGTACTTGCCCTAAAGAAACCCTGTTCTTGCTATCCCCTGCTGCAAACCCAGACTGCAGCCCACAGCCAGCTGGCACAGCTACAACAGGAGGGAGAACATCACCGTGCCAGCTTGGGTGAAGCCCACTACCTGGCTGTAGGGTCCAACACTGGGGCTGCACATCTTGTCCAGGAGGACGGGTGGGAAAAGCTATGAAGCCCGACCTGGGAGGGGAACGGGCACAGCCTGTTGGCAGGGGGTGGCATAAAGGGTCACTAATACTCAGGACACAGATCCATGCCTGTCACTAGCTGTGGCAAGGTGCACACATGCTCACACCCACTGTGGTGACAGCCCTTCCACTAAAGACGAGCCTACAGCATATCCCACCTCAACTGGGGATAAAGGAAGCCCCAGGCACCCATACCTGAAAGAAGCCTGGTGCCACAGGACCTGCTGCCATTGCATCATTAGGGGCCATGGTACCCATCCCAGGGCTGGGAGCCACTGCTGCGCTCTGCAAGAACGAGACACCGAGGGTGGGACAAGAGCCACAGCAGGGGGACAGCTGTCGTGTGGTCAGTCTGGATCAGAGAAAGGGGAGGCTGAAGGAGGGACGTCAGAAGCCACATCCCCAGACTTCTGTGGCTCGAGTTCATGGCAAGTGAGCTATGTTCTGGTGGCAGAGTGGCCGCCCCCTCTGTTGACCCACACCCCAAATCTATACAGTCAGTCCTTGCCCCAAGGGCCCCTTCCCTCGATCTCCTGCACTGTAGATGCTCACCAACGCCTCCAGGAGGGAAGAGCAGTACTCTGGATTGGGTCCCAGCCCCTAAACATTCTTAGAAGGTCCAGAGCCAGGCTTGACAGGCTTGGGGTGGGGGTGGGGGTGCTTACAGGCCACTTCCGCTGCCTGCTCCTATTCTGGCTACCACAGAGCAGGAAACAGGAGCTGAGGGCTGACCTCAATATGAGGAAAGGGCCCTTTCTGCAGACCCCTCCTCTCACTTTCTTCCCAAGTGGAAAACGTGCCCCTGGTACTGTGCTGGCTAGCACAGGAATACTTAGGACTCTGGGGGCTCCTGGCTTGATCTCTGGAACAGAGACAGCCCCACTATAGCTCAGAGCCAGGTCCCTGGTGACCTCTTTCTCCCACTCTCAGAGGCTGGTACAAGCCAGACTCTAGTTGAGACTCTGGTCTAGCTCCGGGGAATAAATGACAAGAGCCCACAGCAAAAAACGCACTGGCAAGGACCTCCCCAAAATCACTGTAATTTCAGATGTTTTGACCAAAGCTCCCCTATCCCCCCCCCCCCCCACACGCCTGCTTGTCCAGTCCCCAGTCCCTAACGCCAGGCCCCTCGGGTGCAGAACAGCCTGGCACTGCGGGAGGGCAGCCAGAGCAGTAATTCTCCCCGCCCCCGCCCCGTCAATCATTCCACGGAGGCACTGGCGCCCGCCCGCGTTACCATGACGACAGGCAAGGCCCGCTAACGTTTCCAGGAGACGCCAAGGTCGGGGCGAGCCGTGGGGCGCCTAGGACTAGCTTGCTCTGGCCCCGCCCTCCCGACGCCCATGCTGCCATGGCAACCGGCGCCTAGGGACTGCGGGGGTCCAAGCAAAGACTAGTGGCTGCCTGGAGCCCACTATGCCAAAGGGAAACTGAGGCCAGAAAGTGGTCACGACTTTAACTCCACACGCCATACTCCAGAGACAGAGGCAAAGAGCTCTCTGAATTCTAGGCCAGCTTGGTTTACATAGGAGTTCCAGGCTAACCAGTACTACTAGTTAGTGAGACCCTGTCTCAAACAAACAAACAAAAAAAAAAAAAAAAAAAAAAAATCCAGAGGACTGGAGAGCTGGCTCTGTGGCTCAGAGCATTGGCTGCTCTTCCAGAGGACCTGGTTTGGTTCCCAGCACCCATGTGGCAGCTCACAACTGTCCCCAACTCCTGTCCCAGAAGCCTTCTTCTGGCCCTCACAGGCCCCAGGCATGCACGTGGCACACTGGCAGACATGCAGGCAAAACACTCATACACACAAAATAAAAATTATTTTAAACAATAATGGAGAGGGATGTGGAGGCACACAAATTTAATCCCAGAGCTTGGGAGGCAGAGATAGGAGGATCTCTGTAAATTCAAGGCCAGCCTGGTCTACTGAGTGAGTCCTGAGACAGCCGAGGCCACACAGACCCAGTCTCAAAACATACAAACAGAGGCTGGAGAGATGCCTCAGATGTTAAGAGCACTGACTGCTCTTCCAGAGGTCCTGAGTTCAATTCCCAGCAACGACATGCTGGCTCACAACCATCTGTAATGGGTTCTGATGCCCTCTTCTGATGTGTCTGAAGAGAGTGACAGTGTACTCACATACCTTAAATAAATAAATAAATAAATCTTAAAAAACCGAAACATAAAAACAAAAGAAGCAGTCCAGACTCCAGAACTTGGAGACTCACATAGTCCTGGAAGACTTTGGCCTCACTGGAGTGTTCACAGGCCTCCCTGCGGTCTGGTGCTGCGCAGTACAGGTCCCAGAAGACACTGTGGGCAGCAGAGGGAACACAATGACTCCACACGCCCCCACAGGTCCCTCCTGCCTTCCCTCTGCTCCCACACAGGCACATACCACCACCAGGAGTGCAGGAAGCCAGGAGGCTCACCCAATGTGATGTTCTTTTCCCAGCGGATCTATGGAAGAGAGACAGAGTGAGGGGCAGGCAGGCAGGAGGGATTCACGGACAAGCTGGACAACACAGGACAGTGTGGGGTGGCCTGGTAAAGGGGACAGATGCTGACTCACCTCAGACAGGAAGGTCTGCGCCGACTTCTGTGCCCCCACATGGAGTAGGTACTCATATACATACAGTGCGAGCCTGCAGGCAGGGTGGTAAACGGGTTCAGGCTGTACATGGGCACCTGAAGCCAGGCCCAACACGAGGCTGTGGTCAGGTTCCCCAGACAACCCTTCATCTAACTCAAAGATAATCCACTGTCCCACATTAGATCCCCGGCTCCTCCAACCACAGAAAACAGCTTCCTCAACCCATTGATTGATCAGCGGCAGCAGCTTCTATGCATCCATCAATACCCCACCATAGGTCCTCCCAAGGGCCCCATCTTCTTCCTTGGTATCCAGTGGTAGCCCTGACTTTTCCTTCCTGTAGACTACCCACAGAGACAGTAACTGCCAGGTCTGATGTGGCCAGGGAGGGGAGTAGAGCCAGCAGGGTGTGGGTCTTCTCTGGTGCTGGTGGTTGCTGTAGGCATTTTAAGGCTTGTTTGTACCATAATGTATATATTTTACTTTATGTTCCTTCTGTGGGGAATGTTCTCCCTGCCAAGGTTGATTACTTCATGATAATCAAAAACAGCAGGACTCCAGGAAGCGAGAATGTGTCTGGTGTTCCTCAAGAAAATGGTATCACTGTGACCTTCAAGACAGCCCTTAGGCTGTGGGAAAAAATTCTGAAAACATGAGTTCAAGATTTAGAAATCAATGTAAGAGCTGTCCTTCATAAGATTTCTCAGCTATGCAAAATAAAAGATGCATTTTGAATTGTACGAAGGCTTCATGGACCTGAGAGAAGAGAGGCAGCAGCACTGAGTCAGCTCAGTCAGGAAGGTATCAAGGAAGGAGATAAAGAGATTTAGGGGGTAGTGATCTCAGGGCAATATCCTACCTAGCTAAGCTTATTGTTTGTGTTTGCAGTTGGACAAATTTGGACTTTTACTCTGGAATGAGCTACAAGATTGGTGGAGCCCAGGATCTAGTAACCAGAAATGGAGGGCACACTTGTGATCCAGATCCTGATGCTGGAAAACACAGGCTTTTGATCTGGATCTTGAGGAATAGTGGCCATTGAAAGCTTAGGCCTGCCAGGTGGTAGTGGTGCACGCCTTTAATCCCAGCACTTGGGAGGCAGAGGCAGGTGGATTTCTGAGTTCAAGGCCAGCCTAGTCTACAGAGTAAGTTCCAGGACAGCCAGGGAGGGCTACACAGAGAAACCCTGTCTTGAAAAAAAAAACAGGAAGGAAGGAAGGAAGGAAGGAAGGAAGGAAGGAAGGAAGGAAGGAAGGAAGGAAAAGAAAAGAAAAGAAGAGAAAAGAAGAGAAAAAAGAAAGATTAGGCCCAGGCAGGATGGTACACACCTTTAATCCCAGGAGACAAAGGTAAGTATTCTGAGTTCATGAGTTCAAGGCCAGCCTGGAACTGAGCAAGTTTTATGTGAAGAAAAGCTTAGATCCAGGTATGGTGGTACACGCCTTTAATCTCAGAATTCAGGACACAGAGCCTTACAGACCTGAGTTCAAGGTCAATCTACAGAGACAATTTCAGGACAGCCAAGCTTAGGCAGTGAGGGACTTGGAAAACAGAAAGCTGATGATAATGTAATAGACAACAGCACCATGTTCCAGCTCCAGCAAGCAGCAGAGCTCAGCAGCTGTGGCCATGGGGCTCTGTCGTTAGAGTCAAGGGGCTAAGGTCATAAAAGGGTGATCTGTGGGATACTCAAAAGGGATCCTGGGGTAAATAACTGAATTGATGTGCAGTTCCTAACGAAGTAGCTCACGCAAAATAAAAGACTGGACTTTGGTGTGAGAGTTATCTCAGAGATAGCTGAGCAGAGCAGAGCTGTCATTTTGACTCTAGGATCTTCTCCAAAGCTGAGACTGGCCCTTGGCAAGTAATGGTGCCTCTAGAGAGTGGGGAGACAGCAGGCAGGGCTCGCGTACCACCAAGGGGCCACTGACATTGATGTTAGGATCAATGTCTTGCCAGAACCTACAGCCTTCGGGGAAGCCCTGCTCCATGGGCTAACATGGTGCACTAGGCCATCCTACCCAGCCAGCCACCTTCCCCAGCAGCTACCTATCCCCAGGGTCACCCATTCACTGGATAGTGCTCTCTCTAGTTCACATGTATGTCCTCTGGGAGCCCCCACTCCCCCACCAGTCCCCACAGGGACATGAGGATAAAGAAACATGCTAGAAGCTGGAAAGCAGACCTGTAGGGCTCCAGGAGTCTACCCCAGCTGTCCCTGCCCCACCCTCCCTGGCTGAGGGCTTCACTCTAAAATAACCTGCCTTTGACTCAGGTCTGCCTCTCCCTCTGGCTTCGCCTCGCCTCCCTCACATCCTAGCATGTCTCCCAGTCTCCTGGTCCTGGCCTTTCTGTCCCAGGACAGAGGTGGGAATGAATGCTGGTACCTTGTGTCCCCTTGATATTATTCCTTTAATCCTCTATCCATCCCATCCATCCATCCATCCATCCATCAATCCATCCATCCATCCATCGGTCCACCCATCCATCATGGTCTGTCCCTGTGCAGTGGGTGGTCTGTCCCTGTGCAGTGGCATACCAGCCATTCTCACAGAGACACATCAAGGACAGAGCAGTCCCAGGACTGAGCTAGCACACAGGACCGGTCCAAGATGAGGGCTATACTTGCAACTTGTACCATGAGAGCCCTGACAGCTACTGGTCAGGCATCCCAGTGCCACCATGTCACCCCACAGTGACCATCCTTCATCCCCAGATCCCAACTTCAAGCAGTCAGTACGTGCCAAGCCACCAGTGCAGGATGGCGGCATGGTCAGGGTGGCATCCCAGCCCTGTCCTCCTTCTGATAGTCAGGAAGGCACTGTGGTCAGAGGCCAGAGCCTCAGAGCCTCCAGACTTCCCCAGCCCCTCCTCCTGGCATTTTCGGCCATGGGCCTCTCAGCCACCTGCTCCCTGGCAGCTCCCACACATCCAAAGGAAACTGAGGGATTGGGTGTCACAGGATGAGCAGGCTCCCAACAGCACTCCAACACAGGGTGGGGCCATGGAGAGACCGCCATGGACCCAGCCACAGGGGAGGTCAAGAGGGAGACCAGAGGGAGACAGCATACCCAACTGTCCCCTCTCCCTCATATCTCAGATCTGCAACACCCTCCAGCAGCCGCTTGCTCCAGGCCCTGCAATGTCTGAACTCTCACTCCTCCCCTGGCTTCCTCCTGCCTCCTACCCCAGGGCCTTTGCCTAGGCTATGCCTTCCCTGACTTCAATGTCCAACATGGTCCTGCCATAACCCAGCTCTGGCCAGACCCTACTCATCCTATTGTCTTCTGAGAGCACTGAGGTTATGGGGAAGGGAAGCTCAGACAAAGACCCCACCCACTGATTCACTGTCCTGGGTCAGCCCAGCCCCTCAGAGCCCCCAGTTCCCCAGTAGCAGAAAGCAAGCAGAGGGACCATGAGAAGCCAGGGCATGCTCAGCGCCCTTCCTGTTACGAGGGCTGAGTGACTTGGAGTACAGGCTAGGACTGTGCAGCACAGGCAGCTTGTTAGCTGGCTCCTGCGGCTCATGACATCACTGCCACTGCCACCATAATTATGGGGAAATTATTGTAAAGGCCACCCCTGACAGCACTCCTCAGACAGGCTGCTGGCAGCCAGCAACCACACTGCAGCCACCATCTAACCTATAACCAGGGCCTACCCCAGTCTTCCAGTGACCCTGTCTCCCATGGTCCTTCCTTCCTAGGTGTGGGGTACCACTGTCCAGGGGAAGGAGACTATCATGTGCCATTCTGAAGGCTGTTCAGAGAAGCCACCTCAACTGCTGGACGGCAGCAGATGGCACATGCTCCAACTTAAACACAGGGGCCACTCGGGCCTGCCTCGTCCTCCCTCGCCACCCTAATACAGGGTCCCCACTGCCAAGTGTGCACCCAGCAGGTCGGACACTGCCCATTCCTGCTGCTGGTGGCCCAGACCTAGACATACAGGCCTGCAAAGGGGCAGAGATCAGGGGACAAGTGGGCCAGGAAAGTAGAGGCCACAGCAGGTGAGGCCTGGATACAAGAGGGCTTACCCCTTACCCCACTTCTCAGAAGAGAAAATCAAGGCCAGGCCAGCCAGTAACTGAGACACTGGAGCTGAAAGCCCCAACCCAAGAAAGGTAAGCCTACCACACCCTCTCTGTGGGGAAGACACCATGGGAAAGATGGGACAACCCCACTCCAACAATGCACTCAGGCCTCCAGCCCACCCCAGCTCCCTGACTTTGGCCTAAGCTGGTCCAGGCCTGGTTGGCCTCCTTCCAGATCTGTGAGCTGTGCCGACCAGGTACGCTGTTTCTCAGACAAGGTCTTATTAAGTAGCTGGGTTTGGATGGGAGACCCTCCCGCCTCAGCCTCCTGTATGCCCTTTCAAAATCATAAGCTCCCTGTGGTCCACACTCAGCCTCAGGACTTCTGTCAATCCATGGCCCAGCCGTGCTCCCTGCCTGCTCCTACTACAGGGCCTTTGAACATACTGAGCCTACCACCCACCCCAGCCCTTCGCTCTCCCCTCTGCTCCCTCACAGTCTACCTTGAGGCTCTCCAGGGCTCCACTGGTGCTGTGTGGCATGACTAGACCCCTACTTCCAGGATGTGAGCTTCCTCACACAGTCATTATACCCACACCAACCCCGGCTGAGCACAGGACTGCTGACTGTGTGACCCATTCCCCAGGCTGGGACTCACCAGGTGTCAGGGAACCAGTCAGCCCCGCTTCCCGCGTGGGCAGCAGCCAGAAGCCAGGAAGGGTCACTGAGTTTACTGACCATGAGTCCTAACTGCAGGCTCTCAAGGGTTAGCCTTACATGGCGGCCTTGTGACCCAGACGTCTCTGTGCCAGGACTGCACTTGGTGGCTCAGCCACTAGGCAAGCTGCCCCCTCAGGCCTTCCTACAATCCTGGCCTCCACAGTCTCACACCTCAAAGGTGAGAGCTGGGCTCCCCTCTCCACCTCACTTCTCCACATGGGCACCCGGGAAAGGAAGGCCAGCCCGGGTGTGTGCTGACCGGAAGCTAGGGCACAGCCTGTCCGCCTGTACCTTCAACGTAGGGCGGTGAGAGCCAGAACCATTCTGGCTCACCTGGGAGTTCTGGGTGGTGGCCCGGGACCACCATGGTCAGGCACCAGTCCATAAGTCTGACCCTCCTCCAGGATTTGCACCCTCACCTTTGCCCACAAGCGACAGTGGAATCCAGCTTGGGCCACCCATGTCCTCGCAAACCTCATGACCTCCGGGACCCCAACGCTGCCCATGGCATTAGCATCCGACCCAACCTCCTCAAATTTGCAGCCACAATGAACCCACGTGTCCTGTTTCAAATCTCCAGCTTGTATACGTGGGACTCGGCGGCCCTGAGACCCGCAGTTCCCCACGAGCCCCCAATGGTCTCACAGCCCACCCCGAAAGCTCACACCTGTCAGGTCTGTGTGACCCCAGAACTCCCGAGGCCTTGCAGCCCTCAGATGCTGTGCCTGCCCCCGGCATCCTGTGACCGCTCAAGTCCTAACTCCCTCTGCTCTCCGATACAGCACCGACTCCTTAGAGTGAACCCCCAGATCCCGCACCCGACGAACTGCCCCGTGACCCCAGCAACCCCTTGGCTCTCGTTTGACCCCTTGATTTTCTATCCCCTCAGGTATCCTGAGACCCCAAGTCCCCTTGGATCTCTCGCAACCTCATGCCCTCTATCTCACGTGACTCCAAGCCCCTAGAACTCGAGTACCCCAATATATTCTGTCCTTTGTGTATTCCGTGACCCCAAAGGACCCTCAGGTCTCGCACGCCCACAATCACACACCCTTCTGGTCTCGCGTGACCCCGTGAGCCCCTTGATCTCCTGTGTACCCCTGAAATCCCGCACCATTTTGACCTCTAGTAACTCCACGAGCTCTTCGGGTCTCCTGTGTCCCCCTGGAATCCCGCACTATTCTGGTCTCGCGTGACCCCGCGGCCCCCGGTCCCGCGTGGCCCCCGCACCGCGCACTCACTTCTCGCGCGCCTGGCCGTCGGAGGGCGCGCAGCCCTTGCTCGCCTTGCCGTACATGCTCCGCACCTGTCAGGCGCGCGTGGCCATCGCTGCCCGCGCCCCGATCCCCGCGGCCATGTCCGCGCGGGAGCTGCGGCCGCGGGTGGGTTCTCGCCGCGCTGCCCTCCGCGGGCTGTTCCGGGAAGCGCGCCACCGCCACAGCGCGCTCCCGCCGCTCTTAAAGCGGCAACGGCGGGCGCGCGGGTGGGCCCCGTGCTGGGAGCGCGCACGCGCAGAGCCCGCGGGGGCGACACTGCCCACCAATAGGCTGCACACCGATAAGCACAGGCTACAGTACCTCCCCCAGAGACACTCAAGCTCGGGACCCGCTCCAGCAGTTACTATCCCTGCAACTGGGAAGCTGAGGCTGGAGGATGACCGCGAGTTCCAGGCCTACCTCGGCTGCGGAGCGAGACTCTCAGCTATACAGATATGGGGGTGGTGTGTATCTCCGTTACTACTCAGGATCTGCACTAGTCTCTTGGGCTCACAGGACATACGCCCATAACACTCTGTTCCCAGAACACGCACTGAGAGCCAGCCAACACAGCGCTACCGGCTGTGAGGGGCCCAATCTTTTTCCGTTTCTTTTGAGCGGGTTTGATATAGGCCAGGCTAATCTCGAACACATTAAACAGAAGATGACCTTGAAATTCTAATCCTCCTGCCTCGGCCTTCCTGGCTTTTGCATGACAGGCATGTGCCACTTAGCCTGGCTTGTGTGCTGTGTGCGGAGCCCAGTTTTTTATGCATTGCCAGCACTGGAAAGACAGAACCCCAAACCAAGCATGTTTTCTTTGTTTTTCTGAAACAGTGTCTCGTCACACTGCAAGCAAAGACAGGAGGAGCTCTGTGAGTTCGAGGCCAGCCTGGTCTACAGAGCGAGTTCCAGGCCAGCAGAAGATACATAGTAAGACCCTCTCTCAAAAGTCAGAGCGAAGCAAAACAATGTCTCCTGTAGCCCAGGCTACCTCCAGCGCTCCGCTTTACTACACTCTCCTTGAACAGTGGTCCTCCTGCCTCCACCGCTGGGTGCACGCTGGGATGAGAGTATGCTTCATCCCCCACGCACGTGTATAACACGCGGGCCCCGCGAGAGCACGAGTGGTGGCGCATGGGTGTCGGGAGGCATCCAGGCTAACGGTCGCTATCGCTGCAAGTGTCCCCGGTTGGGCACGACTGTTTTAGGGGGTACTTGCTGGAGATCGCGCCCAGGTGGGTCGTCAGCCCCGGATGGCGCGGCCACGGTCTCAGGTTTCCTGTGGGAGTGTGTGAGCGTGACAGCCTGCAGGTCACCGCGGCCCTAAGCCCCGCGTGGTGTCCCGGGTGCAGGCGGATCCCCCTAGCCCGGGCCTCCCCGCCCCCACCCCAGCCTGCGGGCGGGAAGCGGAGCCGCGGAGGTTCCAGGCGCTCAGGAAAGGCTGCCGGGGCGCGCCCCGCCTCCTCCCCCGGGCCCTGCTGGGCGGACGCCGGCCTTTCCCATTTCCTGCTTGGCCCGCCGCCCCCTCCCCCAGCTTCCTCTCCCCGCCGCGGGGCTGGCGACTGCTGGGTGCATGGAAGGCCGTCGGGGCGCCTGGGTCACCGAACACAGTATGTCTTTGCAGGCTCTGCTCTCAGCGAGACACAGAGAGGGTGCGGGTGCCCAGCACACAGCACCGAGGTTCCTTCCATCCTCAGTTGTGTCCCCAAGGTCTGGAGATGCCCGGGACGCACGGTTTCCCCTCTCTGAGCCACAAATTTTTCATTCAATGTCTTCACCCACCCGCTGGAACTAATTATTGAGCGCCTGCTGTCTACCAGGCCCTGGGGACCCAGTGGGGACACTTTGCTACGACTCCTGGAGAAAAGAGTCCGCTGGGGAAAGCAGGCGACAGGAGCCGGACAGAGGGAGGGAGGACCGGCGGCGAAGGCGGCGGGAGTCCCGGAGGAGGGTGGAGGCGGACGCAAGGAGGAGGAAAGAACGAGGCGGGGGCGCCCGCAGCCCTTGAAAGCTGCTTGGGGGAGGCTCAGCGGGCGGGAGCAACTGCGCCGTCGTCATGGCAACCGAGGCGCTCCCAAACACAGCTAGGAAAGTCGGGGGAGTTGAGCTCGCAGGACACACACACCCAGTTTGGGCATAGACGGGGCCCGCCCACGTGAGGGAGAGGAAGAGAGATGGCTGGCACTGAAGGACGTGGAAGGAGTGAGCGAGCGGCCAAACTAGTCACAGCCAGTGCAAAGGCCCCGGGGCACACGCAAGGTTAAGGTAGTGGAGACAGCAGCACGCGAGTGGAGAGATTTATTTCAAGAGCCACCATGAGTGGCTGGTGATGGGCCCAGAAAACTGTTCCCTTGGGCCTGCGAGATGGTTCAGCACGTGAAGGCGCTTGCCACCAAGCTTTATGACCTGAGTTCAACCCGCGGGACCCACATGGTGAAACTGTTGACTACTCTTGTGACTTCCACACGCACAATGATACGTACGTGTGCATAAACACAGACACAGTAAGTATACGTCAAATAAAGTGACCCGGCCACAGACTTGGACTAGCGGGGATGGAAGGCATTTGAGGGGCCCCTCACTTGCTCCCCTTTCTCTCGGGTGCTATAGGAACCAGATTACCTGTTTCCCTAAGCGGGCCAGGCTCTGCAAAGTGGACCCCTGCTTCCTAAAGCACGCAAAGACCTCCGTTCCTGGCGCACAGAAAAAAACCCAGAAGGATTAAACTTACTTTTTCCCTAGAAGATCCTGCTCCATGACAACCCTATCACCAGAGGAGCCGGTTCCGTCGTGCCCCCGTGTGGCTGGCCCCGGGACTGCAGGGCTGCCTCCCCCTCTTCACCCTCCTCCCCTTCCTCCTCCAACTCTTTCCTTCCCCTTATTTCCTTCATGTCTTCTCTCTTCTCTGCTTCCTCTCTCCTTTCTCACCCTTCCCCTGTCCTCTGTCCCCCCATTCCTTTGATACCTTCTCTAGATTTCCCCAAACGCCTCGTTTGTCACTATTTTTGACAGTGGGTGCTCCTGACACCCGCGCCCCGGGCCACCCCGCGGGGAACCGCTAACCGCTGGAGACGCTGCAACACGCACCCCCTCCCGCTCCGTCCCGGGCCACAGCCCCGCCCCAGCTGTGCTTTGGAGGCGGCACAGCTGGAGCACGGCTGTACTCGGAGACTGTTTCCTCTTCGCAGCTGTAATTATGGGTAATTTTCTAAGTGCAACACAAAAATTAAAACCCAAACAACACCGGGAAGGGAGCAGCCTCAGCTGGTGCACGCGGCAAGCCCGGGAACGTGAACTTGGGGTGGAGGGAGGAAGGGGTCCTGAGGGCGACCTGTGCCTCAGGCTCTCGGGATGTGGAGGTCCCAAAATAGTTACTGGGGACAAAAGCCCGAGTTTGGACACTGCTTGCTCTGTGCTGCGGTGCCAACGCAGCCTCTGCCCTCTCCGAGCCACGCGGGAGGGAGGAAAGGAGGGAGAGACGTCCCCGCTCACTGGACCACACCCTGGCGCCCGGTCGACCGCCGGGAGGCTCAGCCCACCCCGTAGACTGCTCCCGCCGCATGAGAACTTGCAAGCCGCACCGATCCTGAGACAGGATACTCTTCTGCTAGATGCTCCCCAGAAAGACCGAGCCCCGTCGTCCAGCAGTCTCTCATTCCACCCGACCTCAGATCCTGAGCTCAGCGCCAAGCACAGGGCTGAATTCATCTTTTGCTGAGTCCTCCCACCCGGCGATGGTACGTCTGCAGAGAATAGTCTCAGAGTGACAAAGCAACCTGCCTGAGGGTGCACACGGGGACCAGACACCGGGTCCTCATTTGGGGTGTGCTGGTAACGCACGTTCCTGTCACAGACTCTCATTTCCCGAAGAGAACTCAGTATTTGCTGAGCAGATGAATCTGCACCCCATTCTCTCCTGACCCCCGTGGGTCCTGGGTTTCCTGCCCCTCAAAACAGTCACGAGCTGTAGTTCCAGGTGTAGCCACGCGATAGCAGCAGAGAGCGACGGTGACCACGGCAGCCACATTCGGGATCCTAGTAACACCAGGCCTAGCCTGTGCTTCCCTTGGGCTCCCAAATGGACATTACATATTTATGCATTGGATTATCTCACGACAGAGGGCAAAACTCTTGAGAAACTGTGTAGGTCTCTGGAACTCACCATCTCCTGCCTCAGCCTCCAAGGGCCGGGAATACTGGCCTGGACACCAACCTGGCTTAATTGGGGGGGTGGGGGGTGGTCTCAGCTGGTGGGAGCTCTGACTGCTCTTCCAGAGGACTCTGGTTCAATTCCCAGTACCTATATGGCAGCTCACAACTGTTATTAGTCCCAAACATTGGAGGAAAAGACCAGAGCCCCATTAAAGGTGGCCACATTAATAAAGCATGTTTAGTCATGAACACATGCTGTCTCCCCATAAGGCAGGGTTCGAGAAGACAGAATTGAATGTGAAAAAGACAAGGGTTTTATAGCTCAGGAGTAGGGGGTTTCCAAACGGAGGATTTGGTGGGTAAAATAAGTGGGGTGCATGAGCAAGCATAAAGGTAAGGGGTTAGACCTATGGGCTCCTGAAACAAAAACATGGTTGCAAGGTACTAGTAACAAGATTGTCACAGTGGCCCAGGTACCTGAAGCCAAACTAAAACATGGTTGCCATTTCTGGGACAAGCAGCACAGAGCCATTCATAGCTAAGGTTATAGGTGAGGCCTGGCCCCGTCCTTGGAAAACAAATGTAATCACAAACGAGAATGAATTTAGTTTGTCTTTACTATAAAAAAATGAAGTCACTCTGGTTCTTCACTGTAACGCCAGTCCCAGGGGACCTGACACTCTCACATAGACATACATACCAGCAAAACACCGATACACATGAAACAAAAATAAAATTGGCATTTTTATTATCACCACATTGCCCTTAGCCAAACAGTGGAGATTTTGCTGCATCTTGTACAAGTCTAATAAGTGTTCATACTCTGTGAGTTCAAGGCCAGACTGGTCTACAGAGTGAGTTCCAGGACAGCCAGAGCTACACAGAGAAACCCTGTCTCAAAAAAAAATCTTTCCAGATATTAAACAGGAAAATCTGAGGCTTGGTACATAGATGGCAAACTGATTACCCAGCATGCACCAGGCTCTGGATTCCATCCCCGCACCCCCAGTCACCTGTTGCCCCCAGGTAGCACATTCTGCAGACTGAATGATTAGAATTGCAGCGTTTGCAGAGAGTCGTGATGCTGCAGGTCTGGTGCCTAGACAGCTCCTAAATAACCAGATAGTGTCCACTCCTGTGGCGAACACCAACCCAAAGGCTCACGGGTGTGTGGCTGGAGAGAAGGCTCTGCCAATAAAAGATCATGCTGCTCTTGAGAGGCCATAGACTCCATCCCTGCGCCTGCCCCCTGTGGCTCACATTGGCAGGGGATTGAAGATGCTCTTCTGGCCTCCAGGGACACTTATACAAAGTCACACTCACATACAGTGTCACACATACACTCTAAGTGTCACACACTCACACATTTTTTTTAAAGACTCGAGGCCACTAAATACAAATAACAAAACCTGTGGGAGGAGCTCTGTGACCCAGCACTCGAGAGACAGATGAATCTCAAGTTCCAAACCCGCCCTCAAAAACTTTCCAGTCCATAGAAACAATCCTCTGTGGATCCAGACAGCATCAAGGTGTCTTCACAGCTGTGTCCAGACCCTCGGCTTAATTATAGACACCCTCAGAAGCCACTCAAGCAGCCTGGGCCTCAGTTTCCCTGTCTGTGAAATGGAGGTGATGTTATTACTCCCTAGGCAAGGGCTGCACACTGAGCCTCACCCCCAGGTCCTCACTGAGGAGCCTAGCCTTTTACAGTAGCTCAGGCTGGCCTGGGAAGCAGGCAGGGCAGCAGCCAAGCAGAAGAAGCTGTTCTCCTGGGTCCACAGCTGTGGGTGTGGCCAAGCTCCTGCAGTTCAGGGCTGTTCTCCAAAACCCTCTGAGTAGGAGCCCTCTGTACTCCCACAGGGCAGTGCAACACTATGGGGGTGAGCTTGTGGGGGTGCACTGCCATAACCACCCTGGCTTCATTCATGACATATTTCGCTATAAGTGGCTTCTACAATTCTGTGAGGGTGTCTGCAAACACCAGGGCTGGCCAAGAAACGACCCTGGTGACGCAAGAGGAAAATCCGGTTTAACACGACTCGGCAGCTGGAGTCTGACACGGGACAGTTTATTGTCATATTTAAGCACAATTTGGGTGGGGGGAAACATTCTGCTGATAATTAACAACCCAATCCCCTGTGTACAATGAAGCTTAAGACGTGTTTACATTGAAACTTTACAGAGTATGTACGGCCACTTCCGTAAAGATGGGTCCTGTTGACCAAGAGACAAAATGTCCACAATAAAGACTGGTCTGGCTCTGCAGTCAGCACAGGTCACCAGGCTGGTAACCAGATCCACATTCCAGGCAGGAAACAGCCATACCAGTCTTCTGTTGAAGAGACTAGCCTGCTGTCTAACGCCCCCAGTTTCCTGAGTGCCTCTGAGCACAGGCCGTCGAGTCCTCTATGAAATCCCATCCTGGGTGGCACCACAGACTCTGCTGCCCGAACACTGGGGATGTAGAGGCAGGAGGATGACAGCTCCAGCACAACCTAAGCTACACTGGCTGAGTAGATCATAGTTCAGAACTGCTTTGTCTCTCAATTCCCTGGGTTTGCCAGTCTGACAGTGGGCACAAGCACACTGGCATTCATCTGTCAATTTTAACCTAATCAATGACTCTCAGTGTCCCCAGTCACACAGCCCATCCCCTGATCTTTGCTTGGTCAGCAGCCTGGCACGCAGCCCTCTTCCTTCCTGTGGAAAAGAATGGAGTGAGCTCATTGCAGTGTTCATGGGCCCTGTAGCCCTCACAGGGAACCAGGAAGGGGATCACTGGAGTGCAGGACCTGGCTGCAGGGAGGACTGTAGGCAGGAGTGGGCATTTCTGGGGTGTCAGACATTTGTGGGGGACAAGCAGCAGGTGGAGCTGACCTCAGAGACTGAGACACTGAGGGGCGCAGGCTGCTACAGCACCGGAGGATTAGGACAGCAGAGCTGAATTGTGGGGTGTCATATACTAGGGCCTTGGTACCAAGGGCTGTGTGTCTATCTGAGTCTCTAGGGATCTTGGGAAGTGTGTGTGTGTGTGTGTGTGTGCGTGTGTGTGTGTGTGTGTGTCTGGCATTTCAGAAACATTGGGGGTATCCCAGTATCTTTGAGGATCTCAAGGGTGTCTAAGAATCATTGGATATTTTGGGGTGTCTTTGAGCATGTATGGTTGCGGCTGAGGGCACTTCTGGCCTCTGTTTGTGGCTTTCGTTCAAAGGTTTTTGTAGACTGTGTCCCTTGCCACCATGCTGACAGTCTGAGGTCAGCCCCTGAGATGAAATGGAGGAGGAGAGAGTAGACTCCTGTCAGCTACCCCCTAGCCTACCTGTCATCTCTGCTTCCAGAATATTCCATGACCCAAAAATGAGCCCAATGTCATGAGCAGAGGCTGGAGGAGCCTAGGAAGGGAGACTGCTTGTGTCATTGTGTCTGACATCTGTCTCTCAGGGTCATGAGTCCTGGTTCATCTACATGGGGCATCATATAACAGACATGTGGGCCACTGGTGTGGGACACAAACTTCTAGGCTCTCGATTGAGATTTGCTGGAGCCCTCTCAATTGCTGAGGATTCTCTCCAGCCCCAAAAAGGTCTCTCCAGGGTCAGGGAACACACACAAACCAAGCTACCAGAAGGCAAGGCCCCCATGACCCCTTTCAGTGCTAGGGTTCCTGTATCCCGAAGCCCTGCCAGCCTTGCCCTGGAGCCTCTTCGTGGGTAGCGTCCCCAAGAGGCTCCATGACTGAGCTGGTCACCCGACCCTATGGCCTCACACAGCCTAGCCACTTTCTCTTCAAGGACAGCCTCTCCCCAGGTGGGGTTCTTTCCAATAGCCTGGCATGTCTCTCTGCCTCAGGGATACAGATTCGGTCTTCACACCCCGACACACTCTCTTCCTCTGAGCACACGCCAGCCTGGCTCCCACTGCTCCTGGGACTACACCAGTGTGAGGCCCACACTTCCAGTTCCCTCTTCAGCTTCCTCCTACCAAGCTGCTCCTCAGGCCACAGGGTCTTAGCTCCTGCCGCCTTGCTGAGAACTGCTGTTGCCTGCCTGCCAGGTATTTATGAACTATGTGCCCTCCCCTAGTCGGCCCCTGTAGCCCCTCTCCAACAGTCTGCTAGGAAACTTCCACGGAGCATCTGTGGAAGGATAGGAGCTCGGAGAGTTAAGGATACCCTTTAAGACTCCTAGGCAACACCTAGCTATGTGTTGAAGCCCTAACCTTAATGTCTCCTCTTCTAGGATGCCTTGTGGGACTCTGTCCCTTTTTTCTGTCCTGCCTCCATGCAAGGAAGGGGAGAGGGGCTGGACACTGTCCAGTTCTGACCTTTCCCAGGTCCAGATGTCCCCTGAGTATCTGCCCAGAGCTGAGGCATTTTAAGTGATTGTTCGTTGAGTGAATATTTGCAGAGCCCAGCAAAGGTCAGGAAGCGGGTGGAGGGGAAGCTGCGGGCCAAGGAGCTCAGGGTGAGGTCACAGCAAGAGAGAAGTGGGACAGTATGGCCCCTCCTCCCCTCGTGAGAGCCTGAAGCTAGCAGAGGGCTCTGCTGTCCCCTCCACTACTACACCCGCTTCTCTTCCCCCAGGCATTGGACTCACAGGTGAAGAGCGCCAGGAGCAGTGAACTCCAACCCAGCCCCTAGGCCCCTGAGGCTTACGACACCACGAAGGCCAAGAGGTGAGACCCAGGGATCAGGCTCAGGCCTCCACACAGGCGGCAGCTGGCGGGGTCGTTCAGCAGCCTCGCTCACTCCGGGGTTGGGCTATGTAGAATAGCAGGGTCTCCAGGAAAGCCAGCCGGGACCCAGGCTAGGCGGTTTCCAGGACAACAACTCATTTGCATATGGTCGCGTTGTGGCCAGTGAGAGTGCTGCAGATGGTGGGAAACCCGGGCAGTTGTGTGGGGGTAGTCTAGTCTTGTGGTGGGCAGGTGTGGGATGCACCCATTTCACAGACCAGCGGTTGGAGGCTCAGGGGCTAGGGAAACACGGAGAGAGGTGGCTATGAGCTTTCATGTCAGAAAAGCCTTAACTGGTTGGGATGTTTTATTTGGGTTTTATTGAGTCTCACTATGTAGACCAGACTGGCCTCGAACTCACAGAGATCCTCCTGCCTCTGGCAAACGAGTGCTGGGATTAAAGGTATGAGCCACTACATATAGCCTGGTTTGATTTATTAATCTGTATTTTTTAAGCCCACAGTGTTTAACTTAAGTGTCACCACACAGACTGCTGGAATGGGAAGCAGCGGTGCCGGGGTGCTGGGGTCGTATCTCCTGGTGCTGTTGGCTCTGCTCCACCTGTCAGGGAGTCAAGCTCTCACCTGCATGGTTTACCCAGGCCGTGTAGACTGGACTCAGACATTTAATGACACATGCCTCAATTTCAGTGGCCTTGGCCTGTCCCTGCCAAGGAGCCAGCCCTTGCAGGCCAGCCATGCTCAAGTCCTGGACCTGTCTAAGAACGGCCTGGAGGTGCTCCCTGGAGTCTTCTTTGCCAACCTGGAAAAGCTGCAAACCCTGATTGTCACCCACAACCATCTGAACAGTGTGGACAGGTCACTGGCCCTACGCTGTGACCTGGAACTCAGGGCGGACTGCAGCTGTTGGCTGGCCTCCTGGCACGACACCCGCCAGAACTGCTCCGAGCAGCAGCAGCTGCTGTGTCTGCATCCGGCCACTGCAGCTCCGAGGAACCTCTCCACCTTCCTTCAGGTCAGCTGTCCCCCAAGCTGGGGCCCGGGGACCATCGCTGCCCTTGCTGCCGGGATTATCTTCCTGGCTTTGGCTGTCAGTGGATCTGTGCTGGCCTGGAGACTTCTTCGCCGACGAGCCAGTAAGCACGGCCTCAGCAAAGCCCAGAATTCACACGATGTCCCCAGACCAGTGACAGACTTCCTGCCAAGGTACAGCAGTCGGCGACCTGGCCCCAAGGCCCCAGACTCGCTCCCCAGCAGGTCCACAGAGGACTATGAGAATGTCTTCGTTGGCCAGCTGGCTGAGGATTGCTCATGGGCTACAGCCAGGTGAGTGACCACAGATCTCTGACCACAGTGAGCAGTGCAGGCTTTAGCAGGACATGGAACATGCCGCTGTCAGAGTCAGGGGGATTACCATGCATATGTAGTTGTCCTGAGACTGTCAGCTGGGCCTTGTGCTGGATGTGTGGTTAAGTAGCTTCACATGCTCAGATTCGGGCTGCAGACCTCACTTCACCTCCAGGGGTTGGGGTGAGAGTCTGGAAAGTTCCCAAGGGGCCAGCCCCCACTTCATGAGCTGTAAACCCAGCTCACACCTCTAGAGGAAGCAGGGCTCCAGGTCAAGTACGGCTTGCTGAGGGGTGCGCAGCCCAGACTCCTGACTCACGACCTCTGTGTCCGCATGCGATAGCGACATCACCAGCATCCCCCTGCAGCACATGGGATGCACAGCAGGTTAGGACTGGATAAATGAGTAAGGGTGTTGTTCCCACCTACCTCCCCAGCCCTGGGGGTGGAGGCAGGAGGATTCTGTGTTGGGGACCTAGAGAGAGAGAGAGAAGAGAGAAGAGAGAGAGAGAGAGAGAGAGAGAGAGAGAGAGTTGAGAAATTTGTGAGTCGCCCGTGGGGGGAACGACCAGGAATTGGAAAAAGAGAAGTTGGGCTGGAAGCTGAGGTAGGGGATTTGGGTAACTCGGACGCTGAGAAGAAAGGTATGCAAATGAGATGCAAATATTGAGAAAGGGGAAGTGACCCATGGAGGGGGATGGGAAATGTCACCAACATAGGCTGAGCCAATCTGTCAGGGGACAGGAGAGATGGCCCTGCCCTGGCCTCACTGGCCCCACCCTAGGCCCTACTGAGCTTCCTGAGGACGGGGTTCCCTTCCTCATACCCATACAGGGCTCACAAAGCCTGTCACGCCCTCTTCTGCACAGGCAAACGATAATGAAAAACGTTAAAAGTAAACTCGAGGTGGGGCTGTGTCCAGGCTGGAGTACTCGCCCAGACATTCCTTCCCCGCCATCCAGACCAGCTGCAGTGGGGGTGGGAGATATAAAATCTGAGTTCAGGGCTAGCCTGGGCTACATGAGACTCCGTTTCAAAACAAACACAGAAACACAAGCACAAGAAGCTGGGTTCTGGAACTGGAGAGACGATATCAGGGCACATGCTCACACACACACGCATATATGCACACAGGTGCATTCATGTGCGTGCACAGACACACACATGCAGGAATCATACATGTACATACAGACACACACTCACACGTGCACACACACACACATGGAAGCACATACACACATGCACTCACATGTACACATGCATGAATCATTCATGCATATACATGCACAGACAACACAATGCACTCACGTGCACACACGTATGTGCATGCTTGCACGGTCGCACACACACATGCAGACACACATGTGTGCATACATGCACTCACACGCCTACACGAGTGCACACATACAAGTCAAATCAGGTGTGTGTTTTCCACACCTATATATATTTTTTAATTTTTATTTATTTATTTTATGTATATGACAAGTACACTGTAGCTGTCTTCAGACACACCAGAAGAAGGCATTGGATCCCTTTACAGATGGTTGTGAGCCACCATGTGGTTGCTGGGAATTGAACCCAGGACCTTTGGAAGAGCAGTCAGTGCTCTTAACCGCTGAGCCATCTCTCCAGCCCCCACACTTATATTTTAATGATGATGAATCGGTGACTTTCAGAGGTGTGGGAGTCACACACTGAGTTGGAAAAACGGGTATGAGCGGAGCAGGAACATACATCTGTGAGAGCCAGGCTAGCCTGGGCTACAGGGTGAGACCGTGCTTCAGGAAAAAGGGACAGACAGACAGGCCTCAACCCTGGCCAGCGCTGTCCCCGTCTCTCGGCCTCAGTCACCCGCCTCTGATGTCCATCTGCCTCCGCAGAAGCCGCCCTTCTGAGGACAGTGACTGCTACATGAACTACAGGAGTGTCGACCTGGACTCTCAGCCCGTCTATTGCAATCTGGAGTCGCTGGGGCGGGGCCCAGCGGACGACGAGGAGCCTGTAGTCTCGTGGCGCTGAGCCCGGTCCGGCCTGTGGGAACAGACACTGAACCCAAGAATCCGCGCCCACCCCCCCGGGACACCCTACGATCCCGCACGCTCAACATCACAAGGGGCACGAGGACCCCTCCCCCAAAGCGGAAGGAAGGTCAGAAACAACCCTCGGTCAGTGTGCATGCAGGTGGTGCTCAATAAAAGCTCTGGGCCACATGGAGCAGCTGGCTCTGAACAGGACTGACCGGTGGCTTCCGGAGAGTCCGAACTGCATGTGAAGTCGCTGTTCTGCACCCACTGTCCCCTCTGCCTGCCCCGCACCCACATGTCGCTGAGACTCCCTACGGGGCCTGTGGGCCTGAGTGCTGGAGATCTCTGTCCTGGCGAGGGTTCAGGCAAAGGGGAGGGCAGGGGATCGCTGTCGCCTTCGCTGCTGCAGCTGCTGCAGCTGCCCCAACCTCCGTCTCCGCGCTGCCCCTTCTGTTGCTCCAAGACGCTGCACCGGTCGCTCCAAGTTTGCGGGGCTGAGCCGGTGGGAGGCTGACTAGCCAGCGAGAGGTGCGGGGGAGCTTCTGGCGGCGTTTTCAGGAGAATAGATCTCTTCCCAAGTGGCAGTGTTACAGCTTTTATGACAGATGCTCTCACGTGACGGAGTGGTTCTCGCACACCTTTATTCCTTCCCGATAGGATCTTATATACAGTTTTGAGGTGGGTCAGGGTCTGGCAGCAGGTACCTCCTATTGGCTTGGTCTGAGAACTTGGGGAGACCTTATCTACATGTGAGAGGGCTTGGGACGCTGCTCCTAAGTGACCGATGGCCACAAACCTCTCTAAGGGGGGCTGTGGGGGCCTGTATAAGTGACAGGAGCCTGGTTTCAGGAGCAGGCAGGGCTTCCTACCGTCCCTTCAGGGTCACTGTGCCCTCAAACCTTAGCTCAACCTTACCAGGTTTCTCACTGCCCCACAGGGCCTCGGTGACATCCTCAGCCCCCAGGGCTCTTTCGCCCTCCCTTCCCCTCCTCCCATTCCCCTCTCCTCTTCTCCCCTACTCGGGTCATCCCGGTGCCCCCAGAGATCACAACAGTGTCTTTTCATCCATACCTCCTCTCACCCCTTCTTTTCCTTCTCCTCCCCCACCCCCAAGACTCCCTGGTTCTAGATCCTGGTCTGGGGCTCCACCTTGTGTGGCTCTCCCTGCCTCTCCGTGTGTCCCCTTTCCCTGCTGTCCTGTCCAGGGATCACTGTTCGCCAGAGTACACTTAAGGCCTCTTCAGTGCTGTGGCGACAAGCCTTGACAGAATCTGGAGTTAAACCCAAAACTGGAGGCACACACACACCTCTGAGGGATCTCTGCTTACTTTGAGGAGGGAAGATCTGCTCTTGTGCTCCCTCTCCCTCTCCTTCTCCTCCCTCTCCCTCCCACTCCGCCTCCTCCTCTTCCTCAACCTCCCCCTCCCCTCCTCCTCTCCATCCCCCTTCCCCTCTCACCCCCAGACAGGCTCTCTCTGTGTAGCCCTGGCTGTTCTGAAACTCACAAAAATCGTCCTGACTCTACCTCACAAGGGCTCGGACTAAACCGACCATGCAAGATCCACTTCTTGTCTGGGCCTTTGAGAGAAGGCACATGCTATGCCTTTGATTCCAATTTTTTTTTTTTTTTTGAGACAGGGTTTCCCTGTATAGCCCTGGCTGTCCTGGAACTTACTCTGTAGACCAGGCTGGCCTCGAACTCAGAAATCCACCTGTCTCTGCCTCCCAAGTGCTGGGATTAAAGGCGTGCGCCACCACTGCCCGGATCCCGATTTTTTTTTAATTTTTTTTTTAATTTTTATTTATTTATTATATGTAAGTACACTGTAGCTGTCTTCAGACACCCCACAAGAGGGTATCAGATATCATTACAGATGGTTGTGAGCCACCATGTGGTTGCTGGGATTTGAACTCATGACCTCTGGAAGAGCAGTCAGTGCACTTAACCACTGAGCCATCTCTCCAGCCCCCGATTTTTTTTAAAGTGGGAAAACACAGCTTTAATCTGGGCCTCTCCTTCTGCTGGGAACTTATATTAGGACAACTGAAGAAGGAAGCTTTTGCTCTTTGCCTGTTTATCCCTGCTTTGCTTGCACATCCATTCCTTCACTGGCATTGGGACCTACTTCAAGACTCCAGCACATACTGAAGACCAGCTGAGATATCCAGTCTTGCACAATCCGGACTACAGCCTACAAGTCATTCCAACAACACCCCCCTCCCTAGAGAGAATGTGTGTGTGTATGTGTCTCTCTGTGTGTGTCTGTGTCTGTGTGTCTGTGTATCTGTGTGCCTGTGTGTTTGTGTGTGTGTGTGTGTCTCTGTGTGTGTGTCTGTGTATGTGTGTCTGTGTATGTGTGTGCCTGTGTGTTTGTGTGTGTGTGTGTATGTGTGTGCCTGTGTGTTTGTGTGTGTGTATGTGTCTCTGTGTGTGTGTCTGTGTATGTGTGTCTGTGTATGTGTGTGCCTGTGTGTGTGTCTCTGTGTGTGTGTCTGTGTATGTGTGTCTGTGTATGTGTGTGCCTGTGTGTGTGTGTGTGTAGATTCATTCTCTAAGTACTGTGAATGTAAAGGACCCTAACTAATTATATCAAGGCCCAGAGTTCAGTGTGTTTCAAGTAGTTATGTCACCTCAAGCTGTTCCAGCTTCCCTTGAACCCTAACCTAGCCAGAGGCACCCCTAATTTTGGGATGTTAGGCCTGGTTTGGAGTAGAGATGGGACGACTGTTCTTCACTTTCAGGGAAACCTAGGCAGGATCTGAAGCCGAGGCTGTACAATAAGCTGTGTACTGTTCTGTCCTGCTCTTTCTTGTTGCTCAGACATCCCAGGACTACCAGGCACTGGCTGGTCCGTCTCACATCAGCTGTCAATCAAAAAAAAAAAATCTCCCTCGGGCCAGCCTAATGAAGGCCTGTCCTCTTCTCAGGTGACTAGGGAAACTGAGGCTAGGAAGGTGGGAATCATGATGAGGTCGCTGAGACGCCCCATAGGAACCAAGCTCACCTTTATTAGCAGAGTTTTAAATAAATACACAATCCCTCCACCCAGCCCGACCCCAATAAGTTAATAATATTAATAAATAGAAATAAATAGCATCCTGGAAGGGGAGTGTAGGCAAGGAGCAGGGCCCGGCGCTCAAGCGCAGTGGCAGCCCCGGGCCACCAGGTCATCATAAGTCTGCAGTGACACGCCACTGTCTGTCCTGTGCATAAGAACCACCGGGGTGTAGCTGGAGGGGACACAGCACGGGGCAGGCACCCTGTCAGGCTGCAGGCCATGCAGGCGCGCTTTGATCTGCGCGTGCGTGTTCGCCGAGCGGTAGAGGTGGGGGCACTCGCCCACGCACATGCTCAGTTGCAGCTGGCGCGGGGACAGCACCCAGTCGCTCCAGCCCAGGTCCTCAAGAGTTGCTTGCACAGTCTCCAGATGACAGCAGCGCCCGGGACCCAGTGGGCACGAGTCTCTTGGGTGCGCGTGCGCGCTTCGACGCCCTCTGCCTGCGGCCGTCCGTAAGTGCAGTTCCAGTCGCGCGCCGCCAGGGGGCAGCACGGCCAGGTCGGGAGGCGGCGCCAGGCGCAGGCGCAGTGCCGGAGCGCGGGGTCCCTGGAGACTAATCGCACGCTGCAGGGGCCTGGTGATGTCCCAGGGCCGGGTCGACGGCGTCAGCAGGAGCAGCGCTCGGTGCACGCGGTAGGCTTCGGGGAGGCCCTGAGTCAGCGACGTCCGGTTGACGCGGAGCAGCAGCTGACCGTGGAACCCCAGTCGCACTACAGAAGAAACCAGAATACCAGTTACCCATGTGCCCAGGGTGTGCCAGGCACAGGTGTGCCCCTGTGCAAATGTGCCACGCCCACCGACCACAGGGCCTTTTCACAGACGTCAAACATAGGCAGCCCAAGGTCTCTCAAGTGTATCCCTGGCTGTCCTGGTGACTCTCCATGTAGGCCAGGCTGGCCTCGAACTCAGAGATTTGCCTGCCTCTGCCTCCCGAGTGCCATTTTGCTCTTAGCGACAGGGAGATCTCTAAGGTCTGCCCTGAGGAGGACAGCATGGACTTCTCCAACCTTTTTCCAAGCCTCTGAATAAAGTGGGTTTTTTGTTTGTTTGTTTGTTTGTTTTGGTTTTTCGAGACAGGGTTTCTCTGTGTAGCCCTGGCTGTCCTGGAACTCACTCTGTAGACCAAGCTAGCCTTGAACTCAGAAATCTGCCTGCCTCTGCCTCCCAAGTGCTGGGATTAAAGGCGTGCACCACCACTGCCCGGCTGAATAGTGTTTTAAGAAACAAACAAAAGTTGATTTTCTTTAAAGCACAGTTTGGTGACACCTGTCCTCCCAGAACCTGGAAAACGGAGGCAGAAGGATTGCCCTGAGCTTGAAATCGGCCTGGGCTACAAAGTCCCTATCTAGAAAGAAAGAAAGAAAGAAAGAAAGAAAGAAAGAAAGAAAGAAAGAAAGAAAGAAAGAAAGAGGGAGGGA